CAGCCTACAGCTAGTCAGCTTTCTCCAACTCTCTGTTTTGTTTACATGAAGCACGTGAGAAGTTCCATACATGTGGCCTTCTCTTTCTTTTTCTTGTGGTGTATTTTTTAAAGAAAACAGAAGACATGATCCACTGATGTGCACAGGCTCACCTCAGCAGTTTTACCCACTCATATTCTGTCTTGTTCCAAATAGGATTTAAAATGGTTGGAAATTTTTACTATAATCTTTGAAAGAATAGGTGTGAGAAAGCAACATGGCTCTTCAGGGAACCTTGGGCTCAGGAAATACTTTCCACTGAGTGTGGTGGCACACACCTGTAATTCCAGCATTCTAGAAGCTGAGGCAGGAGGATCTCAAAAATTCAAGGCCAGCCCGGGCCACACAATGAGTTCAAGACTGTCCTGGACTGGAGACCCTGCCTCCAAAACCCAAACCAAATCAAAACAAAACAGCAAAAAATACTGAGACACTTGAGCTAAATTTTATAGGATTAAAAGTTGACCAGATAAAAATAAATTAAAGAGGAAGGGAAGAGCTCCAGCAAAGCCCCGACTTCGGGAAGGGAAAACGAAAAAAGCCAGGAGGTCAGGTCGCAGAATCCAGTGGGGGAGTGGATGAGGAAGTCAGGGTGACACCCTGGGGGTCACTGAGGGGGCAGAAATTGGGGTGGGGGAGGAGTAAGAACCGGAGCGGGAAGGCGAGGACGCAGCGAGGGTTTCCCAACAAGAGGAGGAGACCTTGAGTTCTGGGGCTGCCGCACCCACAGGGTCACATTCCTGTCCCTGCGTCTCCAGTCACCCCCGCCAAGATGCTCACGGACGCTCCCCACCGCAGCCAGCAGAGGGCGCCTCCCCGCTCATGGAGCCCACTGTGGGCAGGGGCTCCTTGCCCACGGCCAGGGCGGGAGGGGCTCTGCGGTCGCGCAGGGAGCACAGCCGGTCCAGAGCCTGTGCGGCGATGAGCTGGGCAGAAGCCGGCTCTCGGTTAGGCCGAGGTAGAATGGGAGAAACAGGTAGGTTCGAAGGAGAAAAGGAAGGGTGTTTTAAATTTTATTTTATTTTATTTATTTTATTTTATTCTTTTGCAATACTGAGGACTGAACCCAGGGCCTCTGCCTTTGCACTGAGCTACATCCCCTGCTATATGTAATTTTTTTTTGAGACAGGATCTTGTTGTTAAGTTGCTGAATTGCCAGGCGGAGCTTGAACTTGCGGTCTTTCCCCTTAACCTCCTAGAGTTCTGGGATTCCAGGCATGTGAGAGGACACGCGGCTGGAAAATTGCAATTTTACTTTAATTTTTTGTTTTGTTTTTTTAAGATAGTATCTGGCTATGCAGTTCAGGCTGGTCTTGAACTCACTGTGTAGCCTAGACTGGCCTCGAACTTGCTTTGATTCACCTGCCTCAGCCTCCCAAGTGCTGAGATTGCAGCATGGGCCAGCATGCCTGGCTGGAAAATTGCATTTCTTTGTTTTTGTTTTTTTGAGACAAGGCTTCACTGTGTAGTCCAGGCTGACCTTGAACGTGCAGTGATCCTCTGGCCTCAGCCTCCCAAGTGCTGGGAGAATATTGCCATTTTAAAATTGTATTTTTACAAAGAAGTACAGCTTCAGGATACAATCAAAGTACCCAAGGTTATAATGCCTGTTTCTTTCCAGGAGACTCACTCAAAAAAAAAAAAAAAAAAAAAAAAAAAATCCCTAAGTGTCTGAAGATATAATCAGCCTGTAAATTGGGCCTGTGCTTCTCCTGTTCTATAGATGCACAAATCCTACCGAACTCCCTCCTCAAGGGAGCAGTGCTACTCCGTGGGCAGCAGGTCCCTAAATTCCAACACACACACACACACACACACACACACACACACACACACACACACACGGGGTGTGTGTTCTAACCCAGCCCGCCGGAACGGGAGCCCGACAGACACTAGGAACACACATCCGGGTCTCCCTTCTGGAGGACGCGTGGGACCCAAGCCCAGGCCGAAACACACCTCCCCTCCCTCAGAGCCTGGGCTTCTTCCCGCCGTTCACTGATGTGTCCTGCAGTTGTTTTCCGTGACGTGGGTCGGTGGCCCTGCAACTCGCCCTGTGGGTGGGCGGAGTCGAGGTGCCCATCTTTGGGGTCATGCGAAAGAGCACAAGGGGGTATTTGGACACCCCCACACACACACTGGGGATGCAACTCAGGACCTTCTTAATGAACCACATTCCCAGACCTTTTGTTATTTTTACATTTGGAAACAGGGTCTCACCAAGTCACCAAGTTGCCCAGGCAGGGCTCAATCTTGCCACCCCACTGCCTCAGCCTCCCAGAGTGCTTATATTACCAACATGGGCCATCACACCTGGCTTTGAACAGCTCTTAAGTAGACCAGATGGCAATTCTGAAGGGATTCCATCCAGCTCCTGTGCAGGGAATGGGACTCTCCTAGGCAGAATCGTGGCTCTCAGATCTGTCTCTGTCCTGTGTGTAAGCCAGGCGTAACTGATACAGCATCGAAAACAGACACACTCGCCAGGCGTGGTGGCGCACGCCTGTAGTTCCAGCACTTGGGAGGCTGAGGCAGGAGGATCATTGCGAGTTTGAGACCAGCCTGGGCTACAAAGTGAGCTCAAGGCCAGCCTGAACTGCATAGTGAAACCCTGTCTCAAAAAGACAAAAAAAACCCCAACAAAACAGACACGCTCAAGTGTTCTTCATTAACAAAATCCACAGCCTCTCTTCTTCCATCTTCCCCTCCAGCTGCACCTTATGTCCCTTCCTCTTCATGACCAAATTTCAAAAAAGTAGATACCTCGCAGATGACGTGATTATGTAGAAAATCCCAAGGAATCACTTTAAGAAAAAAAACTCCTTGAACCAATAATGGAGGTGATCAGGGCTGCAAGATATCAGATACACACACAAAAATTAACTGCATTTCTATATATTAGCAATGGACACAAAGACACTAAAATAAAATGCAATACTATTTATAATCACTAAAAATACCTAAATGTAAATCAAACAAAACAAAGAGGATTTGTGTACAAATAAAAACTATAAAAACTACATGTTGCTGGTGGGAGAAACCAAATTATCATACTCATGGATGGGAAGACAACACAGTAAAGATGTCAGTTTCTGGAGGATGAGACAGGAGGATTGTGAGTTTGAAGCTACATAATGAGACCCTGTCTCAGGAAACAAAAATAAAAAACGAACAAAAGACATCCATTTGGCAGGCATGGTGGCACACACCTGTAATCCCAGCACTCAGGAGGCTGAGGCAGGAGGATCATTGCGAGTTTGAGACCAACCTGGGCTACAAAGTGAGCTCAAGGCCAGCCTGAACTGCATAGTGAGACATTGTCTCAAAAAAGACAAAAAGACAAAAACAGAAACAAAAGCTCGAAAGATGTCAGTTCTCTTCAACTTGATGTATAGGTTTAACACAATCCCTATCAAAATTCTAGTAAGACTTTTCCTATCCATGGACAAGATTATTTTAGAATTTATACGCAAAGGTAAAGAATTAGAAAAACTAAAGCAATTTTGAAAAAAGAGGAACAAAGTGGGCAGAACCTGTCTGCCCAATAGCAGGACTCAGGTGCTATGGGACCACAGACTTGTGCTGGTGCAGGGATGGACGTAGGTCACTGAGATACAGCGGAGAGCAGGAAGTGGACCCACCTTGTTATACGACCCAATTTTTGACAAAGATGCAAAAGCAATTCCACAGAGGGAAGATAACCTTTCAGCAAATGGCTCTGGAGCAATTGAACATCCAGAGACGAAGTCAATCTTGACATAAGCCTCACATTTATAAAATCATTAATTCAAAATGGATCACAGATTTAAAAGTTAAATAGAAGACCAGACATGGTGTCACATCCCTGTAATCCCAGCACTCAGGAGGCTGAGGCAAGAGGATCGCTGCAAGCTTGAGGCTAGCCTGGGTTGAAAAGTGAATTCAAGGCCAGCCCCAACTACATGGTGAAACCTTGTCTCAAAACGACCAATAAAATAAAATAAAATAAAATAGAAAAACATAAAACTTTGAGAATAAACATAGGATAAAATCTCAGGTTCTGCGACTAAAAACTCCTTAGACTTGACACCAGAGGCTTTGTCCAAAAAAGGACAAATTGATTGATTGAACTTCATTGAAATAGAAACCCTTGATGTGTAAAATACCCTGATAAGAAGATATAATGACAAAGTAGAACTGGAAGAAAATGTTTGCAAACCACATATTCAACAGAAGCCGGGGACCCACCACACACAAAGGACCGGCTCAACAGTAACAAAAGCAAGCAGTGGATTAGGACCTAACACACGGCAGGCAAGTCACAGCGCCCTCAGCTGGCGGGAGACCGCATCAGCATCTCCAAAATAAAAAATAGTCACAAAGCCACATGTTGGTGATTAAAGAAGGTAAAATGATACAGCCATCCGGAAGAGTATGGCAGTTTTTTTTTTGTTTGTTTGTTTGTTTTAAATAAGACTAACCATGAGACCACCGTACAGTCTAGAAACTTTAGCCTTGAGTGTTTGTTCCAGAGAAACGAAAAACCTGTGCATGCATACTCACTGCAGCTCTAGCAGCAACAGTAAAAATCTGTGAACGACCCAGACGCTTTTCACAGCTGAATGGTGGGAGGCCAGCAGTGCCTGCCCCACAGAATACACTCAGAACGAAGAGAAATCAGTATCAATACTGTACATGCGACAGCCAGGAGGAACCTCCAGGAAATTATGCTGAGTGAAAGAAATAATCTCCAAGGGAGGCGTGGTGATGCACACATGTAATCCCAGCGTTTGGGAGGCTGATGCAGGAGGATTGCCACGAGTTTGAGGCTTGCCTGGACTTTGCGGTGAGCTCAAGGCCAGTTTGAACTGTACACAGCCAGCCTCCCAAGAGCAGGTTTTCCAGCTGGGCCTGCGCACTTCCAAAGATGACCACTAGAAGGCGATACTTTTTACTTGCACATCACAGGAACCCCTAAGAAAACTGTCAAACCGACGTTTTTTCCCTCTCACATATCAGGAGCCCCAAGGTAGGCAATTCAGCGGATGTCTGTGGTTCAGTTGCTTAGTGGCTTCTTGGGGATGTGGGTCTTCTCCACCCTTCAGCTATGCCAGTCTCAACATGTGGCCTTTTGTTTCATCCTTGTGCTTCTGTTTTTTGCCTCATGACTGCAGAATGACTGCTACAACCCTGGACATCACATTCTGTCAAAGGCAGGAAGAACACAAGGGAGGAGTGCCCGCAAGTTCTCTTTTCCTGCCTGTTTTCTTTATAAGAAGGCAAAATTCCAGAACTGCTCCAGCATATTTCCATCTGTTTCCTGGTCAGAGCTATATCCCTGGTTGGGAGAGGAGGGCAGGATTTAATGTTTCCAGCCTCTGTCCTGGAAGGTGGCAGGGTGTCGGTGGGGATGGTTGCTGGGTCTGTTTGGGGCACTGACTGACTTTGGAGGCAGACCCTCGGGAACGGTACAGGGCCATGGGGCCCCAGTACCAGGCAGCAGCCAGGCAATTTCCAGGGGCCCATGTTTTCTTAAAGGGGATAAGGACAAATCTGCGTCCCTGAACCCGGGTTTTGTGTCCCGGCCTTCCCCTGTCCTGTGGGGCTCCAGCTATGGTGTAGGCGGCTGGTGCCCACTGGGATGGGGCCCCTGGGGGCCTTCCTGGTGTCCCATGTACTTTGGTGAAAGGACGCTGGAGAGAGAAGCAGGAGGGCAGGGTTGTCACCCGAGTTCCTTCCCACACCTGCCGAGTGACCCTAGAGGCTCCGACTGGGGCACCACAAGGTCCCCAGCAGCCCGGCCGTCTGGTTGCTGTCCCCCGCAGCTCTGTGTCCCCAGGAGATGTGTGAAAGACCCGCGCTTGGATGAGCTGTTCCAAGCAGCTGGGACACCTCTGTCACCACAGGCATCACACTCCACCCTCTGCGGTCATCAGGTGTCAGCGGCTCCTCCCCGCTGGCTGTGGTAAAAGCGGGGCCCGGCCCCTGTGTGCCGTCTGCGGAGCCTCAGCCATGTGGCCGGCCCTCCTCCTCCTGCTGCGGCTGAGCCCTGTGTCCTCCGACCAGGACAAAGGTGAGGATGGGTAGCGCCAGAGCTGGAGGTCCCAGGGACTCCAGCCTGCGGTCTCTTCACCCCGTCACCCTGTTTCTTTTGTCCCCGGTGTGGCCCCCCTTCCTGGAGAATCATGAACCAGTGATTCCCAAGACATTGCCCGAGAGCCCAAGCTGTGTGGGATGGGGCTCCTCTGCGTCCACTTCCAGTCTGTAGTGCATCTCGGGCAGCCTGGGACGTCTGGATGGAGAGATGCAGGTGTCTAGAGGGGGCGCTGGCGTGGAGAGAAGCGGGGGAGGTGACCAGCCGGGGTCCAGGTTATCAGTAGACTTGGATCCACCAGGTTTGCTGACGCTTCCTGGAAATACAATGGGAGCTCAGCGAAGCTGTGTGTGTGTGTGTGTGTGTTTGAGACAGGCTCTCCCTGTATAGTTCAGGCTGGCTTTGAACTCACCATGTAGCGCAAGTTGGCCATGAACTTGCAGTGATCCTGCTGCCTCGGCCTCCTGAGCACTGGAATTACAGGCATGTGCCACCGCTCAGCTGATTCTACCCTGCCGAGGTTTATGGAATGAGCACTTGTCACCCACCTGCCAGCCTCCGCCCCTCCTTCCGTGTGTGGCCCTGAGCAAGGGAGTCACTTCTCAGTGTCCCCCATAGAGACAGGAGGGGGGTAGCTGCTCCCCGGCCCCACCAGTGGGGGAAGCTGGCATGGGACCCTGTCCCATCTCGGGCTCCGGGAGCTCTGGGCTCTTTCCATAACACAAATTCCAGCCCATGCCCGGGCCTGCCTGGGGCCCTGGAGGCTGCGATAAGCCCGGCTCCTCCCGTGAATCCTGCAAACCCCTTCTGAGGTTTGGCCTCCTTCCAGCAGAGCACTCAGGTGCGGGCACCATGTCCTGGCCTGAGACCTGCCCAGCGCACCCGCATGCCTGGGGTCTCCCAGAGGTCACGGAGGCCATCCTCCCAGGCAGTTCCTCACTGTCATGCATTTTCCTTCCTTCTTTCTTTCCTCCCTCCCTCCCTTCCTTCCTTCCTTCCTTCCTTCCTTCCTTCCTTCCGTTCATTCCAAGCTGGCCTTAAACTCAACAATGTAGCCCAGGCTGGCTTTGAACTTGCAGTCCTCCTGCCTCAGCCTCCTAGAGTACTGGCATTACAGACTTGCACCACTATGTCTGCCTAATTTATCTTTTTAAGACTATTTATTATGGGAACTATTGGGCACACAGAATGGTATAATGGACCCAATGTTGGGCAACATCAAAATTATTGAAAATGTGTTTAAGCTCTTTTCCCCTGTATTTAAAAAATACAACCACAGTACCTCACCAGAGCTAAAGTAATTACAATGTGGTAATTTCGTATCCAGTACTATCTACGATTCCTCACCTGTCAAAAATGCCCTTGTTAGTGTGTTCAGTTCTGGACCAAACAGGAGCCACACACATGTCCATCAGGTGCCTTTAAACCTGCATATCAGAAGTTGGGTGTGGTGGCATACCTGTAATCCCAGCTACTGGGGAGGCTGAGACAGGAGGATCAAAAGTTCAAGGCCACTCTGGGCAATTTAGTGAGATTCTGTGTCAAAATCAAAGGACTGTAGAGCTGGGGCTACTGCTCAGCAGTATAGTATTTGCCTAGGTACAATGCTTACTCTTTCTTTCTTTTTTGATCTTTTTGAGACAGGGTCTCACTATGCAGTTCAGGCTGAGCTTGAACTCATTTTGCAGCCCAGGCTGGCCTTGAACTCACAGTGATCCTCCTGCCTCAGCCTCCTGAGTGCTGGGATTACAGGTGTGCGCCACCATGCGTGGCTGGCTTTCTTTCTTTCTTTCTTTCTTTCTTTCTTTCTTTCTTTCTTTCTGATACAGGGTCTCCCTATGTGGTCCAGGTTGGCTTCAAACTTGAGGTGATCCTCCTGCCTCAGCCTCCCAAGTGCTGGGATCACAGGCGTGTGCTCCAGGCACTGGTTTTGATCCCAGTACCACAAAAAAAATTGTATATATGTGAGCCCCATTTTCCTCTTGTCGTTTATTTGTTGAACAAACCAGGCAGTCTGTCCCGTAACATATCCTCCATTCTGGAGGTGGCTGATTGGACTCTTGTGATGGCTCTCGGCCCCTGTATTTCTGCCATTTATCTACCTGTGTCAGAGCAGAAGCAGCATTTCTGTGGGCTCGAGTCCTCCGTCCAGGGGCTACACACCTGGGAGGTGATGCATAAAGCCCACCGTCCCTCTTACTGGTGTCAAAATGGTTCAGCCCAAGAGAGTCAGTCCAGAAGCTTCTCATCCCCCTTCTTCCATGCTTTTAGGTGCTACTGGTGATGACTGCTTAGACCCTTTTCTAAAATTAGGGGCTGCCAACTGGTGGTTTTCTAATTTTATCCTTCTTTCTGCATTTATGAGCTGAAATTTTTCTATCAAGATTTCCCTTGCCAACTATTCAGCTATTTGTTTTTCATAGAAAGGTTGGATCAATGTCTGCATTTTGTATTTTCATTTTTTATAGTACTAAAGATTGAACTTGGGGCTTTTGCAATGAGCTCCATTCCCAGCCCTTTGATTTTTTAAATTCTGAGACAGGGTCTCACTAAGTTGTTGAGTTGCCCAGGCTGGGCTTGAACTTGCGAGCCTCTTGCATGCCCATGTTTGCTCCTTTTTTTTTGGTACCAGGAATTGAACCCAGGACCTCGTGCTTCCCAGGCAGGCGCTGTACCACTGAGCTACATCCCTGGACCAAAAATTGGGTTAATCTTTCTTTTTTTTTTTTTGAGACAGGGTCTCACTATGTAGTTCAGGCTGGCCTTAAGCTCACTTTGTAGCCCCAGCTAGCCTCGACCTCACAACAATCCTCCTTACTCAGCCTCCCGAGTGCTGAGATTACAGGCATGCGCCACCATGCCTGGCTTGCATGTTTGCTTCTTGAGTTAGCGTTTTGTAACAATGAGCAGTTCCATGGCGGCCCTGGGAGCTGGGTTAGGTGTTCTGGAAGTAGAAGGTTTTCTCTCATGTGTTTAGGGGCAGGGCTGTGGACTCTGGGGACATCGGGCAGAAGCAGGACATGTGAGGCAGCTAGAGAAGAGCAGGAGGTAGCTGCTGCCAGGCGCAGGAGTGGGGTGGACAGTGGGGACACGTCCCTTGTGGTGCCACTTCCGGCCTGGCCTTGGTCAAATGCTCTTCCCTTGGTCTCTAGACAGTCTCAAAGCCGGGGGTCTCTAGACAATCGCTTTCAATTTTTTCCACCCCAACCCACACTAATGAGCACATTTGATGCTGTGACCCAGTACCTACATATATGTAAAGAAAAGCCTCAAAGAGACGCCCCACCAAGTTACTGCTGTGCTGGACAGCGGATGTAGGTCTATTGATTCTCTTGGATCCGCTTTCCCTGGCCGGGACCAGGAGTTGATCTCCGACTCCTGAATCAGCTACAGCCCTTGTGATGGCCCCTGGCTCGCCCGAACTGCCTAATCCTTGTCTTGGTGACAACCTGACCCTGGACCCGGCCCTTGGGAAGAGAGATGACACGGGGAAGGAACCACATCTTCTGTGAGGCCGCTGAGCTGAAACCAGGCCACGCTCTCAGGCCCCACCCGCCCAGCTGCGTCCCTTTCCCCGGACACCTGTGGGGGCTGTTTCCACAAAACACAGAGGCGTTGGCCACACTCTGGGGCCTGCACCCTGTTGATGCCGCCAGCGCTGCAAAGCCCATTGTTTATCCCTCAGCACAGCCCTCGGCAGGTGGCCGCCTCGCAGGAGGTCGCTGGGGAGGTGGGGGTGGAGGAGAGGCAGGTGGTGGGCATTGTAGGGCGAGAACACCCAGTTCCTTGCTGTCCTGATGCACCCTCGTCTTGCAGTGGATGGAAACCGACCAGAGGATCAGCGGCTAAGGAAGCTCTGGGGGTGGGGGTGGGGTGGAGCTGGCGGAGCTTTGCCAGCGGGGCTGGGACAGCTCCTCCTCTGACGTCTGCGCCGCTCTTCCCCTTAGACCTGTGACCCCTTGTGAATTCATTTTTGTGTGAGGTAGGATGAAAAAATACGGAGAATATTTAAAGTTCTAAATAACTGAATTGCAGTAAAAGACCCATTGCTGTGGATCCTCTCGGAAACACCCCTGCTGTTTGAACGCGCTCGTCCCACCGTTCTTGCCGCTTTCCGCAGCGGCGCTGCGGCCTTCTTTCCGGAGGGTTTTAGTTCTGCTGTCCTGGCTGCCTCAGTGTGCTGACTCTATTCAGAATGTTCCCACTCATGGTCATTGTGACTTTGGGGCACAGCCGGGAGCCCCACGGTGCCCGATCCGGGGAGTAAGGTGGGTGAGGACACAGAGTTGTGTTTCTGTGAGCTGCCTTCCTGCTGGGTGACTCCGGGCAGCAACCTTCACTGTATTTTTGATCACATGTCATAAAGACACTCAGGAAAGAGGACTCCAGAACTGCTGCAGAAAGTGGCGGGAGCGTGGGGTGAGTGTGTTTGAGGTGGGGGAGGATTCTGAGGGGCTGATGGCAGTGTTTCTTCAAATTTTTTAGAGTTTACACATTCTCCATGTATTTGGATCACCCCTTGCCTATGGCGTGAGGTTTGGGTCTGGACTCACTGTTTTGCATGTGGAGACCTAGTTGTCTCAGCACCATGTGTTGAATAAATTCTCTTAAGTCAATTATCTCTCTAAGTCTCTGTCTCTTCTCTCTGTCTTCCTTCCCCCCCTCCACTCCCCCCGCTTTCAGTAGGGATTGAACCCAGGACCTTTGCACCAAGTTACACCCCAACCCCATTTTATATTTTTTAAAAAAATTTTGAGACGCACTCTCGCTAAATTGTCCTAACTAGGCTTGAACTTGTGATCCTCCTGCCTCAGCCTCCCACAGTGCTGGTGTTACAGGTGTGCGCCACCAGGCCTGGATGAATCTATCTTTTGTTCATGTCCTTTTCCTCCAGGCAATTGTTCCCACCCTGAGCCCCTCTGCTGCGTGGGATTCGATAACAACTGCTGGAGGGAAACCTGCTTCTGTGACAACTACTGCCTCGAGGTTTCGGACTGCTGCCTGGACTACAGCGCCGTCTGTGGCCCTGGTGACTCCCGCGGGGCTCTGGGTGGCGGAGGCCTCCTGCCCGAACCTCAGGCCCCAGCCCAGATGGGGGCGGGTGGTGCCTGCAGTTCTGGGCGCCGCATGTCAGCGGTGTACACGGACACTCCCAGGGGGTCTCCAGGCTCTGTGCTCCGCCGCTGCCCTCTGGGCTGCTGGTGGGAGGGGCTGGGGCGGAGACGGGGTGTTGGGTCCCGCAGAACTGCCCAGCTTGCATTGCTAGGCGTCTGTCTCATACAGACTTGTCTGTTTGTTTTTTGTTTCTATGTTTTGTTTTGTTTTGAAGCAAGGTCTTACTATGCAGTCAAGGCTGGCCTTGCATACGCTTATATTGCCCAGGCTGGCCTTGAACTCATAGTGATCCTCCTGCCTCAGTTTCTTGAGTGCTAGGATTACAGGTGTGTACCACCATGCCTGGATCTGCTGTCTGTTTGGTTTTTTGAGACAGGGTTTCACTATGTAATTCAGATTGGGCTTGAACTCACTGTGCGGGCCAGGCTGGTCTTGAACTTTTGGTGATCCTCCTGCCTCAGCCTCCCAAATTAGGTAGACTTTTGAGAAAGCCAGGAGAATGCAGAGAGGTGCTGGGGATGTTGGACCACAGCAGCGCGGGGGCGGGGAGCGATGGGCACAGACACCTGCCCTGTGTTTCAGCTCCTCTCACCTCCAAGATGGTGCTGCACGTGGTACTGAGGACACGGAGCCTTCCTGGCCCAGGCAGGAGCGATCCAGACTGGGTGCAGAGCACGGTGAGTGCCTTGGAGGTGCCACAGCCAGGTGCCACCTGCTCCTGCCTTCCCGCCCACCTGGGGAGTGACACCCAAAGGGCAAAGTGTCCCTGAGTGAGCACCGCTGAGCTCCCCTGCAATGATGGCTTTCAGGGTAGAGCTGGGACTTCTGCCTGTGGACATGAAATTTGAATTTCCTTTTTTTTCTTTTTTTGTCTTTTTGAGACAGGGTCTTGCTATGCAGTTCAGGCTGGCCTTGAGCTCACTGTGTAGCCCAGGCTGGTCTTGAACTTGCAGTGATCCTCCTGCCTCAGCCTCCCACGTGCTGGGATTACAGGCATGCACCACCATGCCCAGCTTCATTTCATTTTTAACATATCTTGAAACATTATTCTTTTGATCCACTCCCCCCATTTAAAAATGTAGAAAACAAAGCCAGGCATGGTGGTGCATGCCTGAAATCTCAGCACTTGGGAGGCTGAGATGGGAGGATTGCCACAAGTTTGAGGCCAGCCTGGGCTACATAGTGCATTCAAGGCCAGTCAAAAAATTTTTTGAAAAATGTAGAACACATTCTTAGCATTCAAACTATCAAAAAACAGGCAGTGGTTTGCTGACCTCTGCCCTCCACCCACTCTGTGCCCCCCATTCCTTCGGTGTCCTGGCTGCAGCCCTGACCTGGGCAGAACCCTCAGCCAGCCCTGCCTCCAGGCCTGGGCACCTGTCCTGGCTCTTCACAGTCAGGGCAGGAGAGGCAGCACGGAGCGGGCAGGGTGCAGGAGCTCCAAGGGCAGTGGATCTGTCTTCAACCCCCTTCACTTACACTCTGGGCGGCCACTCAGGAACCCCTTTAGCCTTCCTCTTGCTTGCTTTTTTTTTGTTTTTTGTTTTTTGAATCAGGGTCTTGCCATGTAGCCCAGGCTGGCCTTCAACTTCCAGGGATCCTCCTGCATCAGCCTCCCGAGTGCTGTTTCCTCTTCTGATTCCTGAGCTGGCTGGAAGGGCTGTGATGAAGATTAGTTGGGACTAGGTGTGGAAGGGCGAGGCTTGTGCTTGTCCCAAGAGGGGGACCAGGCCTCTGCTTGCTGCTCTCTTAGGTCCAGAGGCTTCTCCAAAGCATCCTGCCTGTGAGGCCGCGCTCCATCTCCGTGAAGGGCGTCAGGAAGAGAGCCTGAGTCCTCCGGGAGCACGGGTCACCTGTGCCCACGACAGCCCGTGGGGCCCACCATGCCTTTAGCGTCATCTGGTGGCTTCTCAGCTCCCCTAACCACGGGACAACTGGGACCTGCAGCCGCATGAAGATACTGAGATGTGAAGGGATAGAGCATACAAATCATGGAACATTCCTTTGGCTCATGGTGGTATTTTGTTGTTACTGTTTGAGACAAGGTCGCACTGTGTAGCTCATGGTGGCCTCAGACTTGCGTCGGTCCTCCTGCCTCAGCCTCCAGAGAGCTGGGATCACAGGCGGGGCCACCACACCCAGCCTGGCTCAGTGTGATTCATTGGGTTGTGGTGGCTACAGGGACATAGCAAACATTTCTTGAAGATGGAAAATGAGAACCCAGCCTGCGTCCTCTCCCCTTGTGTGTCTCCCGGGCCCCAGGTGGTGGCCTGCAAGTCTGGGGCAGCCTGGCCTGCAGATTCCTGTCTCACCTTGGACTGGAAGCAGAGGGAGAGACCTCCGGGTGTCCCCTTGGGAGCAGGTGACACCGCTGGGGTGTGTGTGTCCCTCCGGGTTCCCAGGAAGGGTCCCCACCCGTGCCTTCCCCTCAATGGTTCTTGTGTACGCCATTGTCCCCTTCGTCCCCTTCCTCCACACTGAAGTCCTGGGCACAGCTCCGCCCTGCTGCTCTGGCCCTGACTGCCCTGGTCCAGGGCAGAGTCCCAGAACCTGAGCCTGGTGCCACTAGCTCCATCTCCGAAGCTGCTTTTTGTGCCTCAGTCCTGGCACAGAGGCCAGCTGCCGGCCACACGGGGCTCACACACTGCTGCCTGTGGGTCCCTTCGCCCCTCCTGGGCATAGCCACAGGGACCTACCCGGCCTGGGATCCATCCAAACCCCCACCCGCTGCTGATCTGACGTCTGGTTTCCAGGGGTGGTGATGGCTGAGATATCTGTGCCTTACGCACCGCCGATCCCAGCTCTTGACTACTGGGTATGTCTTGGCTTAGTTTCTGGGAAGGATTTGTTTGGGAACATAATCCCCAGCAGCAGGGGTAGGGAAAGGGGAAGAGAAGCAGTGACGGGGAGAACCAGCAGGAAGACGTGCCGACTGGGAGGCTGGGGCAGGAGGGTTGCGAGTTTGAGCTCAGCCTGGGCAACTTACTGACTTAGAAAGAACTTGTCTCAAAATTTAAAAAAAGGGCTGGAGCTGTAGCTCAGTGGGAAGACCCTGGGTTCATCCCCAAACCAGAAAGAGGGACGGGGATGGAGGGAGGAGACTGATCCATCTGCCCTCCCACACCTGATATCGGTGCACACAGACCCAAGAGTATCCCTAGCGATCGCGTCTCGGGCTTGCGGCTGAGAGCAAGTGTCGCGTCTGTCTTCTCAGTTTAATATCGGATACGCCTTCTATCCGAGCACAGTCTGTCCCACGGAGTTTGGGAGCGGGGAGCTGGAACCGGAGCTTGCTCCATCCATTCCACACATCGCCCTGGTATTGCAGCACTTCCAGGAATGGTGCCCCCATAAGAAGAAAGAATGTCCCTAATAGCTTTGCAGAATAGGGCCAGCTGGAGTCGCCCAGTGCCCGTCAGCAGCAAGCCGTGTGACAGCACTGCCCCCCATCAGAAAGGACGGACTACAGTGCACACAGCGCGGGTGAGGCCTGCAGACTCGATGCTAACAGAAAGAAGCCAGATACAAATGTGTACATGCTCGACCCACTGACGAGATGCTCAGACACAGGCAGGCCTGTCCCGGTGATGGAGTTCAAATGGTGCTCTTCTGAGGAGTGGATATCGGAAGGGACACGGGGAGGCTGCCGGGTGCTGAAAATGTTCTGCATCTTGAGCCGAGAGACAGAAACATCCTGGGAGCATACCTATGTAAAATACATCAAGCTGGGAGCCAGGGGTGGTGGTGCACACCTGTGATCCCTGCTACGCAGGAAGCTGAGGCAGGAGGATCTCAAATTCAAGGGCAGCATGGGCAACTTACCCAGATTCTGTCTCAAACTAAAATTTTTAAAAGGGTTAGAAGTGAGCTCAGTGTCGAGCACTTGTCTGTCATGTGCCAGGCCTCGGTTTCTACCCTCAGCACTGGAAAGGAAGAAAAAGTAAGTCTTTAAGCTGTAGGCTGGTACTGTGCGTGAGTTTTGCTCTAACAAAGGAGGTGGTAGAATAGGTACACAGAGGCTTCCTGCTGTGGTGCTTCCTAGTCCATAGCTGAGGAAATGTGGGGTGCTCTGGGGGGTTGTTCGCAAGCCTTAGGGATTTAGAGGGCTTCCATCTATCTTCCAACCTGCTTAGCCCACACTGTGCCCACTCAACAGCTGGAACCTGTGGGGACCCACTCAGACTCCCCTGTTGGCCCAAAGATTGGTTTTTGTTTTGTTTTGTTTTGTTTTTTTGGAGACAGAGTCTCCTTCTGTAGTCCAGGATGGCTTTGAACTCACAGCAATCTTCCTGCCTCAGTCTCAGAAGTGCTGGGATTACAGGCGTGTGCCATCATGCCTGCTTTTGTTATTTTTCCTTCTAAAATTTTTACCCAGCTAATTTGCAGACTACCCACTCTGGACCCAAATTGGCAGAGGAAAAATTTTCTGTCCCGCCAAGCTGTGAGCGTTGGCAGTGGCCAGAGGAACTAGGATACAGCTCAGGGCCCAGTTCCTCTCTCACCTGGAGCTTCAAGGACGCGTCACCCACTTAACTGCTCTCTGCCCATAACACCCTGCCCCTGAGTCCCCTCCGTCCATGATGCGCCAGGTTTCCCGAGGATTGGGTGAGCCCAGCCTGCAGGCCCCACACAACTCCAGCCTGTAGGGCCTTGGGTGAGAGAATGTGGTTATTCCTGACTCCTCTGTTTCTTTGAGCCCACCGCAGGCTGGGAGAAATTCTGCTGCTTCTCATGGGACAGTCAGACACTTCCTCCATCTTCTCCGCTGCCCCCTCTGACAGGGCCCCATCTCTCACCTCACCCAACTCCCTGCTTTGTTATCCACACAGCCGACAGGGCAGCCTTCTCAGCCCCCTCCACTGTAGGCTTCAAGACACCTCGCCAGAGTCCCAGAGGTCCTCTTTTGGGCCTAGTTTCCACGCCAGGCCCAAGGCCCCAGACTAAAGACCAAAATGGAGTAGTCTATGCCAAGTTCCACCTCACTAAACTGAAACTTGGTGGTTACCTCACAGAGAGAGAGACAGGCAGAGAAAGAGAGAGACAGAGAGACAGAGAGACAGAGACAGAGAGACAGGCAGAGAGAGAGAGACAGAGACAGAGAGACAGAGACAGAGAGACAGGCAGAGAGAGAGAGACAGAGAGACAGAGAGAGACAGAGAGACAGAGACAGAGAGTGAGAGACCCAATTCCCCACAGGCCAGTTTCGGGTGACATGATGATAAAGTAAGGCTAAAATCTTGCCAAGAAAGCAAAAATGACCTGAAACGAACCAACCAGTCACTGTTTCCCTGCTTCCCGCCTCACAAGGGAAATAACCTCTACGTGACCACTCTGCTCCTTGTTTTGGGTTTTGCTCTCCAGTAGCGCTGAGGACGGGCCCCAGGACCCTGTGCACGAGGCTTGCGCTCTGCCCGCGCCCTGCCCAGCCCTCCTGCTCTGTTTTTTGTCCTTTCTTCAGCCCTTTTCTGTCTATGAAATCACCCTCCACTGCTCAGCTCTTCCAACACTTATTTTATTGGGACGATTATAGAAACAAAGCTGATTTAAGATTTTTTTGTGTGCGTGTGATACTGGGTATTTAACCTAGGGCCTTCGCACCGACTAACATCTCCAGCCCTTTGTATTTTATATTTTAGTTATATTGCATTTTATTTATCTAAGTCTCTCAATTGCTCAGGCTGGGCTGGAACTTGTGATCGTTCTGCCTCAGCCTCCCAGAGTGCTGAGATCATAGATGTGCGTCATGGTACTGGACCCAATTCAAATCTTTAGACTCCATAATAACTTGTCTTTTGACAGAGTAGAAGCTCCAAGGGCACAAAGCCCCGCTGTTCCCTCACTCCTAGCGCGTGCCCCTCCCAAGGTCCCAGCCTAGCTGGCCCTTGGTGTCCCCTGGCCTTGCCCTGCCTCTGCCTCTAAAGCCTTCTGCAGCCCTTCCTGCTGCCTGGCCTGTTCTTCCCTGGGTGCCTACTTGGCAACTGCCTCGACAGCTCCTCACCCTGCTGTCTCTGCGACTCCTTCCCCATAGAATCCACTCACCATGTCTGTTGTTTACTGTTTGCCATCTCTTCGCCAGCAAGTTCATTCCACGGGTCTCAGACCGTGCCTGGCATAAACAGTAGGGGCTTCACACGGGCTTGTTAAATTAGTGAAACTGTGATCCCAGCTGTCAGGAGACTGAGGCAGGAGGATCACCACAAGTTCGAGGCCAGCCTGGGCTACACAGTGAGTTCAAGATCAGCTGGAACTACATAGTAAGACCCTGTTTCAGACAAATAAACAAGCAAACCAGCAAAACTAGCTGCCTAGGGTCATTCAGCATGAACCAAGCGCATCCAAAGAAATGGTCCAAGAACTTTCTGGATAAGCTTGGTAGAGTCCCCCGGGCCCGTAGCACTTGCCAGACTTGGAAATTCCCCCAGACGCAGAAGGCGGCGGCTCCGGCTGTTGAAATAAAACCCAGCTAGCCGGGCTGTTGATCACTGAAATGATAAAGAGGAAAAGGAAATGGAACAGGGTTGTCTTCAGCTGGGGTGAAAGGTGCTGGCTTCCTCTCAGGAGATTAAACCCAGCTGAGACCCACCTGCAGCTGGAATGAGGAAGCCCACCTGTCCCCCTGGGGCGGGGCACGGTGGGAGGGAGGTGGCCGAGAAGGGCCTCCTGCTCGCTGGCTTCCTCCCCTGTCTTAATGGTGTCTTTGGCTCAGGGCCAGGGGTTGTGTCCCACACAGACCCCTTCTGCCATTTCCGGGAACAGTCCAGTCCCCACGGCCTGGGACCACTGCTTGTGTGTCCTGTCAGCTCCCATCTTAACACAGGGAAAATTCTAGAAGACACTGTCACACACCCACCACCCAACCCCAGACTGTGAGACCAAGGAGACCTGGAGCTCTGGCTACTAAAGCTCGGAGAGGACAGGTAACTTCTCCAAGGTCTCGCGGCTCCTGGGCCACTGTGAAGGACAGAGCTGGAAACAGAACCTGGACATTTTGACCAAGTTTTACATTTTCTTCTGGCCCTGAGGTTTTGTGATTCTATGGTGCCCACCCACACATTTTGTCTGCCCCAGAGACACCTTATCTGGTCCCACACTGTGGCCGTAACAGCTCCTGTCCTTGTCCCCTTGAGGGATTTGCTTAGGACACCTGAGATGGATTTCCCAGCCTCATTCTCCCTCTCCTGGACTAACACCGTGGGGTCCCTGGGTCACCTGCCTCGCTGCCCTCCTGGGCCCCGGGACTCAGATGAGCACTTACCCTTCCACCCCAGTGCCCTCTACTGACTAGGACACGGTCCTGGCTTGGCCTTGGAGGCAGAAGACGAGGGATGCAGTGACACCCCATTGGCAAGCTGTCCCCCTATGACCGCAGGGCCTGCCCCCTCTCTTCTCCTGGCTGCTTGAGGATCGAGTGGGTGCTGGGGCTCCCACGCATGTCTTGAGCACCTGAGATGTGCACACATCTGATGCGCTCCGATCAGGAGGTGCTCTGGAAGAGCTTTGCTGTCTCCCACGTTCCTTCCAGCAGCCTCCTAGGTAGACATCGTGTCCACGGTGCAGGTTGGGGAGCTGACTTTCACAGCGCCCCTCTGCTTCTCCCGAGATCCCAGGAGTCGATAAAAACTGGGATCAGGAACGAAGCCTGGCTCTGTCCTTGGAGCCTGAGCCCCAGCGTGCCTGGTCCCTGCAGGGCAGAAGGGGGTGGATGTTGCCATGGAAACGACTGGGGGAATCACAGCACAAGGGCGCAGGAAGGTGAGCCGGGTGGCAGCCCTGCCTGCCGGCCCTCACTTGTGTGTGAGCTGGAAACCACCCAGGCACACCTAGGCAGGTGCTGCCCCTCCCCCAGGTGGAGGAAGCAGGAAAAGGTGGCAGCCAGAGGCAGCGGGCGAGGCTGCTGGGCAGTGGTGACCAGGGCCTCGGCGAGGATGGGCTTGATCTGCACCCTGGCTCTGCCTCTTCTTCTCCTCTGCTGGGAGGCTGGAGACTCCCGGGGATTTACAGGTAAGGAGGTGGGGGGCCCTGGGCTGCGCCCCGGCAGGGTTCTGGGTGTGAGTTTCACTCAGGCGGCCATTGGTTCATTTTGTTTTGTTTTGTTTTGTTTTTCTGGTACCGGGAATCGAACTCAGGACCTTGCGCTTGCCAGGCAGGCGCTGTGCCGCTGAGCTAAATCCCCAGCCCATTGGTTCATTACAGTTAACCACGGGCTATCTGGGAAGTGTGAGTCCCGTTGATAATGAGTATGCAGGCGGCCGTGTGTGACACTACAGGGTGTCTGCGTTTGTCCCTCTTCATGTGGCAGGGTGAGTCGGCGGGCGGGGAGGACCGGCTGGCGATCACTCCGCCTGCAGCGGAACAATGACACCTCCAAGTTTCTTACCCAGCAGCTTTTCCTTCCAAATACAGCTTTGCTGTCCCCTTCGGTGTGACTGCTGTCACAGACTACAGGCACAGGGGAGGGTCAGAGAGAGCAGAGATTTGATGAAAGAAGGGCACTCACAGGTCTGTCACTCGCGGGAACTACGCCGAGCTCATCACAGACCTTTCACACAGACTTTCTGTGGAGCGGATTTAGGTTCAGGGCAAGACCGAGCCAAGGACAGAGCTCTCCAGGGCCCCTGGTCCTCACTGCATACGGCTTCTCCCCTGCCCACAGCCCCTCCGGGGTGATCAAACAGAGGGTGAATATGGTCACTTTGACTCTGGAAAAGAGTCAGAAGTTGCCGGGTGAACAAAGTCAGATCCCATGCACAAAGTGGCTGAGGATACACAGGGATGTTTTTATGAGCCTGCCTTTTTGCCGGATGACACTGGGCACCAACATTCGCTACTTTGTTGATCGTGCCGTGTAAAGACACTCAGGAAAGGGGACTTCCAGAACTGCTTCAGGACGTGGCAAGAAGGATGGAGTAGGTGTGTTTGATGCGGGGGGGGGGAGGACTTTGAGGGGGATCGTGGCCATGTGTCTTTTACTGTAATAAAATTTTTAAAGATTTACTATAGTTTTTTATTGCACTCCTTGTACTAGCACGTCACTATCAAACTCATAACCCTATGTGGCGGGCACTGTTCTTGCCTCCTCCACCCGTTTAGAGGAAACTGAGGCTGACAGGGCTGAAGCGTTTATCCAGCATCAGTTAGATGCCACATGCGCCTAACCACTGACCCACACTGCCTCCGGCATGCGCCCTGCGTGCCGGGCTCGTGCTGCCTTCTCCATTCCAACCCCTTGCAATAGGTGCCCTGAGCTCCATTTCCGGGCTGGGAGCCAGGACTGCAGTACAGCGAGCAGCAGAGAAGGGACTCGAGCCAGGCTCTGTGTCCACACTGTCCTGCCTGGGCTGGGTGGGTCGGCCCAGGTTGCTGCGGGGTCCTGGGCAACGACTGAGGCAGGGGTGGGCTGTGCTCTGTCCTGAAGACCCAGCAGGCAGGAGACGGCAGGGTGGTGACAGCTCAGGTGGTGAGGAGCCTATGGGTTTAGAGCCAGTGGGGAGTTTTTTGCAGCAGAAATGATACAGTGGGGCTCCAGGATAAAGGAAGAGAATGCATCGAGGAAGTCAGGGGTCTGGTGCCAAAAGCCCAGCACTTGGGCATTGGCTGTGTGGGCTGAGGCAGGAAAGTGCTGCCCCACGTTGGGGGCCAGGCAGGAAGCTCAGAGAAATGCTAGGGCTTTGCGGGGTGACAGGAACTTGACCCAGAAGGCAGACTCCTGGGCATGTGTGATTCATGTGGGCAGCTGCGGCAGTGACGGTGTGCTTAATGTGCATGTAGGGTGCAGCCTGAAATTCTCCAGGCTCAAAGTAGGCTGCATGCTTTCAAGTGACTTCTTGAGGGGACATGGGGTAGGGGGGGCTTCCTAATCCCTTACAGGCTTTGGAAAATCAGAACTTCGTCCTGTTGCCGCCCCCTCTTCTTTCGGTCCTTGGTTTATACACTCGGACCAGTGTAAGTAATACCATCAGGGGCCTGGGGATTTAGCTCAGTGGCACAGCGCCTGCCTGGCAAACGCGAGGTCGTGATTTTGATTCCTGGTACCGGAAACCCTCCCCTCAAAAAAAAATACCGTCAGTAAATACCATGTAAGCCAACAGAATGCCTGAAAGGGCTTCAGGCCTTGATCCCTCTCCTCTGAGAGCAGGGCTCCCTGGACAGAACACAAGACATCCTGATACTTTTATATTTCCAGCAGTGTATTTTTTAGCATAAGTCTTAAATATTGCACGAGAAATACTCAGACTAAAAATTATCTACTGCCTCATATCTAAAACAAGTATTCATCAATCTGAAATGCGAATTCAAAGTTAAGTAGGTGTCTTGTGTTTTTGTCTGCCAGACCTGGCAGCCTGTCCCAGGAAGCCTGCTGGGCGACTCTGCAGCGTTCGCCTCTGCTTGCCGGGCTCCTGATCTGGGATCTGGGTTCCGGGTTCTGTTCTGTGGCTGCCGGGCCCGATGCACGATGGCCATGGGCACGGGTGGGGCACCCTCTTCTCGCTCCCTGTGGCCGCAAGGACTCTGCCCGCTGCCTCCGCTTTTGCCCAGGGCACCGCCCACTCACACGAGAGCTTCCTCTTCCTTAGTCTCCCCAGGTTCCTGTAAAGATGCAACTGCAGAGCTTTCTTGTATTTTAAGAAAATGCTTCCGTGGGGAAACATTTGTTGGATGAGACAGTGTCCATGGGCAGCAGGCGAGGAAACTTTCAGGAACTTGAGCCTGGTCCCCGCTCTGCAGTTCTTGGTCCACAAACTTCCGTCTTCTTTGCCCTTCAAGGGTGGACACTGGCCACCCTTGTTGCAGACCAGTATCGCCTCGGGAGCTGGGCTCGTGGCTCAAGTGTTGTGGCAGGGCTTCAAGGAGGCCGCCAGGGCATCCCCAGCTCTGTGCCCCCCAGGGGCCTGCGCTTCCCCATTCTGCCTCCTCCTCCTTCCCGGTTTATGTGGACAGACGGTGGGAAACAATCCCCACCCCCCAACCACACGCAGTGCCCACGGCCTAAGCCCAGGAGCTGTGTGGAGTCTGTCCGCCGGCACTCACGGCTCACCACATTGGTCTCATCCAACACAGGTTCCAGCCGCAGCGGACCATGCCCGATCACAACGACAAACACCGTCAACGTGCTAACCGCCGTGCCAGGGATCAGCACGAGCTCGCAGGGAGCCTTCCCCACCCCTGGTCTTGCTAAGACCACAGAGCCAGGCCACTTTTCTGTGGCAGCCGCCACCCTGGGCACTGAGACCTTTTCCAAGACCTTAACACCAGCTGCCACTGCTTCTGAAACAGGGACCAAGGAGACTCTGACCATTTCTCCGGCTTCAGAGACCCAGGGCGCCCAGATCGCTTTCCCTGTCACAGGGACCATGAACACCAAGACCGCCTTCTCTACCACAGAGTCCAGGGACACCCAGACCATGTCTCCAGCGTCAGAGAAGACCATTCCCCTTGCCACAGGGTTCAGGGACGCTCAGACTACTGTCCATGCCGCAGAGACGAGGGATACCCAGACCATTTCCCCTACATCAGACACCAAGACACTCAGAAAGATAATCCCTTCTGACCTCATGGCTGCAATCACCATCCCTGTGAGGGCTTTGTCCACAAGTGGCAGCTTCACAAGGACTGGACAGGCTACAGATGAGATTCCTCCAGGCAACGATCCCATGAAAGCCACCTCTGACAGTCTTTGTACCGACGACAGCTCTGAGGAGACAAAATGCATCACAAACAATGCCTTGCCATTGGTGCGCACTTCGGTGGAAGCTGAGAGCCCGTCCTCAGACAGCAGCTCTTCCTCAGTCAGCTCTGCAGCCGTCATCACCGCCTCCCAAGACCTGGGTCCTGATGTTGCCACCTCCAGCAAAGCCTCGGTCCCCCGCAGCACCCCCCACATCAAGTTCCTCGGAGAGACAGAAACCGCAGCCGCCATCTCTGGGACTTCAGACGCAGGTCGCAGCCCCACAGGAGTGAGCGCCTTGTCCATCTCTGAGACGTCAGCTTTGTCTGCCTCTACTGAGGCAAAGTCACCCATCCTGAGCCACACATTTCCCGCTGAGACCCTGTCCACCGTTAGCACCTCAGAGTCAGCTGCCCCCAACACCACCCCCGATGCCCCACGCCCGAGCAGCAGCACAGGAACAAAAGCAGTATCCTCCCCCACCTCTGGCCCGAGGAGAGCTCAGGTGACAGTTAGCATGGGCCGCTTGGGAGAAACCTCAGCCCTCTCTCAACAGAGCTATACTGTGGTCTCAGGAGCAGTTATAGTCTCTGCCAAGGCTGCATCAACAGTGTGCGAAGGGACTTCCTCTGCTGGATCCTCAGCTTCAGTCTCTGTCTCTTCAGAAAGAGCCATCATCAAGAATTCCACCCCTTCAGGGCCTTTTACTGCAGACAGCACAAGCGTCAGGGACTCCCCCACCGGAAGAGGCCGTGTTCCTTCTGTCCACCCGGCTACAGCCAGCAGCAGCCAAGAGCCAGTTGTCACTTCAGCCATGACCACAACCGCACCAAAGCCCGCTTCAGAGGTTTTTACCACAGATGGCACAACCAGTAGGGCCTTCTCCACCAGCGGGACATCTCTTTCTTCTGTCCCTTCAACTACAGCCAATAGCAGCCAAGAGACAAACATCACCTCAGCCACGGTCTCACCAAAGACCCTAAGAGCTACATCCTCTGCTACTTCAACAAGCCAGACTCCGGAAGTTATTGCAGGTAAGTGACTCCCCTCTGTGTGATCTTTGGGGCTTGGAGTTTCTGGGGTATCTGCAAGCTTAAGGATTTGGGAGGGAAGGGAATTCTTATCCATGTCATCTCTTCAGGGTCTCGTAGTGGTTCCTGCCAAAATCAGCAATAAGCAGAGGTAGGTGGAGTATGTAAAGGGAGCAGGGCTGGAAATGCAGGGCAGTAGCTCTGCATGTTGGCACTGCCCTTAACAACTGAGTGGTCTTGGACCAATCCCACTCCCTCTCTGGACCTCAGCTCCTTCACCTGTGATGAAGGAGATCGCATCGAATGAGCACCGAAGCTCTTTCCAGATCTGCCTTTCTACGAAGTTGACTGCTGAGTAACTACTGGACGTCAACAAGGTCCCAAATTTAATCACAGCTGCTTAGGAGGTGGAGGCTGGAGGATCATGAGTTCAAACCCAGCCTGGGCACATCCTGAGATCCCACTCCAAAACACACACACACACACCCACACACACACACATACACACACACACGCACACATACACACACACACACCCCACCACCCCCACCACCCCCACCATCACTGTGACCTTTAAGCTTTGGAAACCTCTGTTCCAACCCTAGACATAAGCCCCCCGATGGGCTTGCTGGGGTTTGTGCCATTGTAGTGACTTAAAATACCGAGGTAACCAGGGTGAAGGTTGGGGAGCTCAGCAGCAGCTCTGGGACAGCGGCTAAGACTCAGGGCAGGAGCCCGTGTCACAGGCGGCTTCTCAGCCTGGCTCCTGTCAGCCTGTAGCCTCTCTCCAGCATCCCTCTGTCCTTACGCCTCGCCGATGAGTATCCTCACCTTGCCCTACAACCACCCTATCTGACGTCTTTTGTATTCTAAGCAGAGGTGATGTAAAAATATTCTACCACCTGTAAGCATTGGTACCAGCTGAATGTGCTGTCTGAGCTTCGCAAATCTCTGCTAACCTGTCTTCCAGAACAACCGTGGGAGGAGAAAACAGATACGAGGGAGATAATGGGATTGTTCTAGAAAGACAATAATGGGATGCAAGTACAAGCCTGTTTGATTCCAAAGCACATAGGCTCTTGATTGTACTTTTCTGTTGAAAATCTCAATGTATCAACATGTTTTCATATTAAAATACTTGTCTTCATGTTTTATTGACTGCGCAATACAGTCACAGGAACATGGTTTCAAATTCAAAAGATATGTATATATATATATATATATATATATATATATACACATATACATCAATGATCTGTGTCTACAGCTATATATTTTTCACCCTTCTTTTTTATACAAGCAGAGAGTATGGTAAAGTCAGATCTCTGTAACACAGCTATTCTTTTTTTTCTGGAGGTTAGGAAAATGTTTTCATTCGTTTTGTATGTTGAGTTCATCCTCGTTACCTTGCATTTTAGCTCTGTGATTTCAAGCTCTGTGTTTTTGTTTTTTTTTATTGTGCTAAGAACTGTTAACATGAGATCTATCCCACCAGACTTCTAGTGTACAGAACGGTATTGTTACTGATAAGTACTGTGGGAAGCAGATTTCTAGAACTTATTCATCTTGCATAACTAAAATTTTATTCTATTGATTATCAACTCTCCATTTTCTCTTCCTCTCAGGAAGCCATTTATTTATTTATTTATTTATTTATTTATTTATTTATTTATTTGGGACAGAGTCTTACTATGTAGTTCCAGCTGGCTTTGAAGTCACTATATTGAATAGGCTGATCTCACACTCATGGTGAGCCTCCTGCCTCAGCCTCTAAAGTGCTGGGATTATAAGAGTGTACCACTATACCTGGCCTATTCTTTTCTATGATCACTCAATATTTCCTTTGTCTCTCTATCTTTTACTTGGCCAGTCCTGTGTGGATGGTAGTTTGACTTGTTGCTGCAACAAATAGCGCTACAGTAAATAGTACATTTCTCCTGGGTGTGCTCTTGCATGCAGGTTAAACTTCTAGAAGAGCAATCACTAGGTCAAATCTAATTACATTATCATGGGAAGAAATAGCTTTGCGGTGCCAGTGAAAGGGAAGGAGATGAAGCCTCCACCAGAGAAAGAAATTGCTGGTTGAGGTTAAGTCAGGAAGCCGGGCATGGTGGTGCATGCCTGTAATCCCAGCACTTAGGAGGCTGAAGCAGGAGGATTATTGCAAGTTCGAGGCCAGCCTGGGCTACAAAGTGAGCTCAAGGCCAGCCTGAATTGCATAGGGAGACCCTGTTTCAAAAAAAAAAAAAAAAAAAAAAAAAAAAAAAGGAAATTCCCAGCTCTACCCTGAAAGCCATCATTGCAGGGGAGCTCAGTCATGCTCACTCAGGGACACCACCTGATTCCCGGCCCATCTTGACTGTATTTCCTTCTCCTTGTTCTTAACCAACATGCAGGTGCAGATGGAGACTTCCTCCTCCTGAGGCTGAAGGTGGCCTCGCTGGAAGACCTCACAGAGCCTACAAGGGCGGAGAGGCTGGTGCAGCAGGTGAGTGGGCGCTGTGGGGGCCAAGGGAGTGGAGGGAGAGGTTCTCGGGGCTGCAGTCACTGCGTGGAAGGATCCCTGCCTGGTTTTGCTTCTGCCTGGTTTCCCTTCCTTCTTTCCTCTTCTGTGCAATGTAAACGAATTCCTCTCCCCAGCCCCAGTTTCTTCAGGTCCAAGGAAATACAGGCCTTCTAGCTCCTGAGGGGAAGTTCTGTGATACTGATGGGCAGGTCAGCAGGATTCTAGCTTGCAAGTGGCAGAAACCCAAGTCACGGTAGTTCACATGGAAAAGGGAGGTCCAAGAAACTGATAAGTGGCTTCTGCACCTTCAGCTAAGGCTGAGTCCAGTAGCTCAAACGTGAACATGAGGATTTTCTCTGTCTACTCTGCTCCCATTATGCTTTAGACAGAGATGTCCTTTGCTCAATCTATATTCACAAGACTGTTCTCTATCAGTCACTTTCCCATCACTTGGCCAAAATGCCCAATAGCTGCAACTAAAAGGCAGAGAGGTTTATTCGACTCATGGTTTCAGAGGGTTCAGATCATGGCAGGCTGGCTCTAAGGCAGATACGTCATAGTAGAAGAGTATGGTGAAAGAAAGCTACTCACTGCCTGGCAGCCAGGAAGCAGAGAGGGGAGGGAGGAGCCCAGAGCAAGAACGCACCCTTCCAGGTCACGCCCCCAGTGACCCACCTCCTCCAACCAACCCCCCTTCCTAGCAACACATGAACTCATCACTGATGAGTATAGAGCCCCCATGATCCAACTGCCTTCCAAAGTCCCACCTCTGAACACATGAGACTTTTGGGGGAGATTCTAGATCTAACTCTTACTATTTTGCCCCTAGCTCCCAAAAAGTTTAGGTCCATTTCATAATGCAAAATGCATTAGTCCATCTCTAAGAGTCACCAAAGTAGTCAGGTGTGGTGGTGCATACCTGTAATCTCAGCATTCTGTGAGGCTGAGGCAGGAGGAGTGCAAATTTGAAACCCAGTTTGACAACTTAGTGAGACCCTGTGTCAAAGCAAAAAATGCAAAAAAGCTAGTGAATACCTCAGTGAAAAGGCCTTGGTTTCAATTCCTAGACCCTCTCCCTAACCAAAAAAAGAATTGTTAAAGTCATAGCAATTCCCACATTGTTGAAAAGTTCAAGTCCATACTCTCCCCTGGGATTCAAGGGAAACTCATAGCTGTGAGCCACTGCAAAAATAAAAAAGAAAGTTAAATACTCCCGAAATGCAATAACATAGAGCAAACATTCCCATTCCAAATGGGAGGAATAGGGGGATAAAAAAGAAGTGGAACAAAACCCAACTGGTCAGGCCTTAAGTCCTGTAGCTCCATGTCTGGCATCTGAGGCACATGGTGATGAGATGTGAGCTCCAAAGGGTAGCCCCATCCCTATGGTTTTGCTGGTTGCATCACACCTAGCCTCTCTCTTGAACTGACTCCACTCACAGCCTGTAGCTTTCCCCAGTAGACTGTCCACGTTCCTGGCATTTCCAAACTCTTTGGGTCTCCACTACAACTTTGGCTTCATTTCCACAGCTTCACGCCCTATCCTCTCTGGGGTTCCTTGCCTGGCCTTCAGGTCTTTCCTTTGAAACCTAGGTGGATGCTTCTCTGACCCCTCAACTCTTGCATTCTGCACACTATCATGTGAACAATGTCAACGTCTGCCATATTGTGGGTAGCAGTCATGCCCACTTGGATCATGGCACCAGCAGTAGCTTCTGGGTGTCTGGATGGCTGAGCACAGTGAAAAGAATCCAAGGGAGCAATTCCTTAAGTGGCCCTTCTTGAGCAGGGGCAGGCTGGGGATATAGCTCAGTGATACAGCACCTGCCTGGCAAGCACAAGGTCATGAGTTTGATTCCCAGTACCAAAACAAACAAACAAACAAAACCAGAACCAAAACAACCCCCAAAAAAAGCAAGCACTAATTTGCCAGGGATAAAGCTCAGTGGCATAAGCGCCTGCCTGACAAGTGCAAGGTCCTGAGTTCAATTCCTGATACCTACCCCCCACACCGAAAAATGAGAACAGTGACATCACTGGCATCTTATTTTTGTCAGGGATATAGCTCCATGATACAGTGCTTGCCTAGCAAGCACAAGGTCCTGAGTTTGATTCCCGGCACCAAAAACAAAAAAAACAAAAACAGAACAATTGAGCAGGGGGCCCAGGGGTTCTCTTCTCAAATGAAAGATTTACATTTTTGCACCTTTGAAGCTTACATGAGTGTAGTCTTTCTGATTCTTGGAATGCCCTCTGTACAAAGTACTTGGTTTCTATTTAATGGCACTAATCTCTTAAGCAGCCATATCTATTTTGGCTCCAACTCTATACATGGTTACTTCTGAGCTGATGTTTAAATTTTAAATTTTTTATATTCTGCTTTTTTTGCCTCCCAGTTCTCATATTAAAACTGGTTAAACACGTGTAGCAGTGCCCATACCACACAGTCTGAATGTTGGGCTGCACTGAAATTTCCTCTACCAGATTAACCAGTCCAGATTTATTAGTCCTTAATCTCAGTATCCTGCAATGTCTCAGGACATAGGCAAAATGTAGGTAAATTTTTAGCCAGAGTATAATATACATGGCTTCTTGTCCAACTGCCAGTAGAGTTCTTGAACCCAACCAAAACATCCAGAGCCTAGCCTTTGCTATCTACATTCCTATCAGAATTCTGATTTTCCAAGCTCCAACTAGAATCACCCATCAGGCTCTGCTTACAGCATTAAAAGCTTCTGTAGTTTATATCTCCAAAACTTTCTATGCTCATCTAGTGAACTAGTCCCAAAGTCTTCTGAACAACATCACAGCAACAGTCCTACCTCTTTGGTACCAACTTCCTGCACTAGTCAGCTCTCCAGTCACTGGGACACAATTTAAAGGAGGAGAGGTTTAATTTGGCTCATGGTTTAGTAGGCAGGCTTCAAGACAGAAACAGTATGGCAGAAGAACGTGTAGAAGTCAGCTGCTTAAACCCATGGCAACCATGAAATAGATGGAAAGGAGGAGCCAGGGACAAGAAAGAATACACTCTTCCAGGTCACATACCAGTGACTCACCTCCTACAGCCAAGCCCCACATCCTGACAGAGGAGGAGCTCATCAATGGGTGAATCCCGTGACAAGTATAGTGTCCCATAACCCAGTCACCTTCTAGATGACCCACCTCTGAACACATGAGACTTTTGGGGGACAGTCTAGAGCTAAACTATAACAATCTCCCTCTCCTGAGATTTGCATATTATCTAGAGAAGGACTGGTCTCACTGGCCTGCAAGAACCACCAATCAGTACCAATAAAATATTTTGTAATCAAAATCTACAGTGAATGTATAAATTTAAAAAGTGTGTTACAGTAAAAGACACATTGCCATTAATCCCCTTCCAAGTCCTCCCCCTCATTTCAAACACACTTATCCCACCGTTCTTGCCACTCTCTGAAGCAGTTCTGGAAGAACTCTTTCATGAATATCTTTATGAGGTGTGATCAAAATAATGGTAAACACTGCTGCCAGGTGCCATCCACTGGAAAGGCAGGCTGGGAAAACACAACAGTGTGTCTTCGTCCACCTTATTCACTGGAACTGGTACTGTGCGGCTTGTGGTTCTTCCCCAAATAAAAATGACCATGGAAGGTAAATGTTTTGAACTGAGGGACCAAGGATATAGCTCAGTGGCACAAGAACCTGCCTCGCAAATGCAAGGTTCTGAGTTTGATTCCCGGTACCAAAAAACCTCTAGTATTGAACTGAGTCAAGACACCAAGACAACTAAAGACATTCACAAAAGACTTCCAACACTACTTAGAAAGTGGCAAAAATGATGGGCTAAGTGTGTTTGAAGTGAGGGGGGAGATTTTTCAGGGTCATTAATGGCAATGTGACTTTCACTGTAAGAAAATCTTTAAAATGTAGATTCACCACATTTGTTGTCAAACCCCGTAGATTTGCCCCAGATGAAATAGGGACACTACATAGAATAAAAACCATTGAAATATGCTCTAGATGGAGACCAAGACTGGGATGTGTTTGTATAACAAGTTGGGAAAATTCTCTTGAACTCAGATTATTGGGCAGAGTTTCCAATGGTGAACTTTTGAAATTTTGGGTTAGAGCTTTTGGAGATGGTGTGGATTATTGGAAGGTTAGACTGGGTCAGGCCAGTGCAGATTTCGCAAAGTAAGAGATGCAGTGTGTAGAAGTGGCAGGTGGCTAAGCTCAGCGTCATCGGTGAGAACAGACTGCAGGCAAGTCTAGTGTGGCTCATTCCTTGGGCAGTGCCCCGTCAGTGGCATGTGGCACTGCTCACAGCTAATGGCACCACAAGCCATCTACAGTGCAGGCTCAGGGTCACCCTTGTAAGGGCAAACCCAGCAGAGGTGCTGTCTGGGGGTAGCCAACTGCCCTTGGGCTGGGGGTAGAGGCCTACGTCATGGGGAGGTGGTGACCCTTAGCAGATGGAGGCAGGATGTGCTCATTGCAGGTAGGATTCTTCACTGCAGGCAAAACCCCAGCCACCATCTGTCATAAGTAAAAGGGGCATTTGTTGGCAGGGTCCTAGTTGCACAGAATCAAAGGAACCTCAGAGGAGCAGGCTTGGAAAACAGGCAGGAGGCACACTGGCTGGGACACTGTTGCTCCTGCTGGCCACAGTCAGTACTAGATGCTCCACAGCCAGTGGACGTCATGCTGCCTGCACTAACTGTGCAAAGGGCCCTCTGCCTCGGCCTTCCAGTCGCCTGCTTCAAAGTCAGAGCCCTCAATGGGAGCATCCCATTGGCTGAGCTTAGCTCTGTGCCCACAAACCCCTTCCAGGCCCGGAATAGGCAACTCCCGGGTCCTCAAGTTCCTTTAGTGGCAGAGAGGCCCCTGAGGGGTGCTCTGAATGTTGGGGGTTTGATGTGAGACAACCACATATGTGACAACTGCCCTCTGCCCATGGAGATCAAAGTAAGAGCAGGTGGGAATGGAGGTGAAGAGGGAAGCCAGGGTCGAATGTCAGATGTGAGCCCACCGATGGGCCCAAAAGCCAGGGAGATCAGGCCCAGGTCAGCCAGCCAAGAAGCAGGCAGGCAGCAGGCCAGGCGGGATTGTTGCGGGGCAGCCAGTCGTGTGGGACTCTGCGCCAGCACACGGTATCGGTAAGTGCTATGATCCGTGTCCAAACCCAGAAGTGGAGCACGTGGAGGACGGAGGGAACAGTGGACCCTACTAGCTCTGTGGTTTAGATCATGGGCCACAAAGACCTGAGTATGAGTTCCAGTCCCTACCTGCGTACCCTTGGCTGAGTTCTTCCTTATAAAATGAGGATGATAATACCTGCTTCACAAGTTGGTGTGAGGTTTAAATGGCATAACGACACTGGAGGAGTGTTGTGGATGTTCCCTCCTCCGGTCCTCTCCTGCCCTTAGCCTGTGATGCTTGTGGGCCGGATAGACTGGACTAGCTCTGGCTCCTTCCGCTTTCCAGCTCCAGTGTGAGCTGCAAAACCGCTTGCCCCTTGCCCACCTTTCCTTACTGCGCATCCAGAGGAGCTAAAGGATATCAGCTGCAGCCAGGCATGTTCCCTGTGCCAAGGAAGAACAGCCCTGCTGGTGGCCTGAGCCCGCTGACAGACTGGAGCCGCGTGACTGTGCTGACGGGGACTCAGAAGGCTCCTGTGAAGGTCAGGTGGCCCAAGCCCTTATCCAGAAGGACTGCAGGGTCCGGGCTCACTTTTGTGTGGGGGTGGGCTTCCCCTGTATGCAGTGGTGTCCTTCACTTCCCTGGTATTGTGGTCAATAAAGAGAGACCTGATCCATCCCTGCACTTCTATGTGGTCTGCGTACTGTGGGCGTTTAGGTTGCATAGCTGTCTGAGTCCCTTTCTCATCGCTGGGACACAATACTCAACCCACACAACCTAAAGGAGAAGCGGTTATCCTGGCTCACAGTTTCCGTGCATGGTCAGAACTGTAACAGGAAGTGTTACCTAGGCAACTGACAGAAACTGAAGTATACTGGCTGGGGGGGGAGTGCATTTTGAGCTACAGTGCCCCCAAGACCCAGCCACCTCCCCAAAAGCCTCCCTCTCAGCTAATGAGAGCTTGGGGTGTCATTTCTGGATGTAAACCCAATACAAGTAGGTTCCCTCTGCCTTTCATGTTCCCCACTTCTTGGTTTACACCTGGATCATGGCACTGACGGAGGCCACTCCTGCAGTTTGTTGAACCTTGAGCTCTCTGTTAGTCCCCTTGTTAGAGATAATGAATTTATTAAGAGAAAAGATTTATTTTGATTCACAGTTTTGGAGTTTTCAGTCAAGGGCAGGCAGATCTTTTGCTGTGAGGCTCGGGTGGGCTTGCTGGGAGGCAGCCCTGTGGATGCAAGGTGGAGCCAACGGCTCAGCTCATGGCCAGGAAATGAAAGAAAGGGAGAGGAAGGAGCCGAGGGGCCCCGATGGCCTAAGGACCTACCTCCTAAAGCCTCCACCGTCTTCCCAAAGAGCCACTCTGGGGACCACGCCTTTCCAACACAGGCCCTGGGGAACATCCATCCAAAACAGCAGGCTCCCTCAGGACAGGGACCATCTTCGTTCACCTCTAATCCCTTGAACCCAGCGGGTCACCTGGCCTGAGACAGGATCATGGGAAATGTTTGTTGAATTGATTTAAATTTCAAATTCTGCACACAAAAGCAAATCTAAAAGAAAAATCTTCAATACTCAACTATTCCACCCATATTTATAACTCACATCCTATTATTATTTTTTTATTTTTTTTTTTGAGACAGGATCTCGCTACGTAGTTTAGGCTGACCTTAAACTCACTATGTAGCCCAGGCTGGCCTCTAACTTGCAGCAATCCTGCCTCAGCCTCCCAAGTGCTGATATTATAGATGTGTGCCACTATGCCTAGTGCTATTATTATTATTTTTAATTTAAATATGGATTTTTTCTATTATAAAAGCAAAAATTGCTTATGATTTTAAAATTTTCAAAGAAAAAGAGAGGGAAGAAAAGAGAAAGAAAAAACATCGACAATCCCAGCTCTTATATAAGACTCTTGCTATTGTATGCATTCCGTTGTGTATTCAGCCTCTCCATGTGGACGGCAAAGACCTCACATCCTCCACTGCTGAAACTGAGGTTCTGCCCTTTGCCCTTCAACCTGCTCTGCCTGTGTCTTCCCCTGTCATGGGTAAAATTAGTCTCATCCTTCAGTTGCTCAAGCCCAAGTCCTTGGAGCCGATCTTTATTCTTCTCTTTCTCCCACATTTTACACCAGGAAATGTGGTTGGTCTGCTGACTACCCAGAATCTGACCTCTCCTTATCATGGCCCCTGGCATTGCCCAGATGGTCCCAGATGCCCTCCTCTCTCACCTGACTGCTCAGGGTTCTTTCAGATCCCCATCTACACTTTTGCCCGCCAGCCCCAGTCCTGTCCGAGCACATCAGCCAGAGCTGGCTTTTCGTGAGGCACAGCAGGCCGTGTGCTCTCCTCTGCTCCCAACCCGCCCGGTCCATTTGGGAGAGAAGCAGAGTTCTGACCATGGCAGCGAAGCCCTGTGGATCGGTGCTGCTCCCCTAGCCCCATAACTGGCTCACTGTAGGTCACACTGACTTCCTTGCTGTCCCGGGATGCATCAGGCCTGCTAGGTCTGGGGACCTTGGTGACATTGCTCAGTCTGCTGAGAAGGCCTCTCCTGCGGACACTCAGTTAAAAAAGACAGATAAATTTAATGATATTGCAATGGCAAACAGAAATACCAAAATGACATCCAGGATTTAGAGGCAGATTTATTTTACATCGATGGGCAGTGACTGGGATGAGTTCTGGGCTGGACGTGCTGTTAGGAGGCGGAGCCTGATTGGCGTGGCTCCGTGGGGTGTGACATGGGATGATGTATTCTTGTCTCCAGTGTCTCCCTTCTCTCTCTCTGCTTCCTGGTTGCCGTGGGTTGGACAGCTGTCCTCTGCCAGGCCCTTCCACTGTACTGTTTCTGCTTTGAAGCCAGACAACCATGGACAGAATCCTCTGAAACCATAAACCAAACAAACTTCTCCTCCTTCAATTTGTGGATGTCACGTATTTTGTCCCGGTGATGGGAAAGCAACAAATACGCCCTCTCCCAACATTTTCTGTTTCTATAACAAAATGCCCCAGCAGGGCTTATTCACAGTTTTGCAGGCCGGAAGCCCAAGACTGAATGGCCTCATCTATTTGTTCCTGATGAGGGCTTCCTTGGCTGGGTTACAACCTAGCAGTGAAACAGGAAGCGGGTAAGCCGCATGCAGAGGAAGCCATGGGGGTCCTTACTGTATCAAACACTCTTCAGGGAACTAACTGGGGAATCCTTTGAGAAACACATTCATCTCTTCTGAGGATGATATCCCACAACCTGATTACCTTGCAGGAGGCCCAACCTCTTAAACAGTCCACCAGCTCAATAGAGCCATGCTGAGGAGTTTCCTGCATAGGAAATTTGGGAGAGAAAACACATCCAAACTATCACAGTCTGCGTTTGGGGTGAGGAAAGACGATTTAGATGCAAGGACCCTCCTCAGGACTGTGGCATCCACGGCTTCCCAGCGTGGAGTAACTCAGCTGAAGTAGGGCAAGATCCCATCAGCTCTTATGCCTCTGTCACCTGCGGAACACTTAACCTCCACGCCCTGTGCCTGCTCATGGTTGGGGGACGCCCTGTGCCTAGCTCTGCAGCCACCAGAAGAAAATTGGGGATGGAATCCATAGTTAGGAGATAAAAAAGTCAGAGGCATTTCATTTAAACCAACTTTAATGAGCAGTAAACCAGAGTTTTGTGTGTAAAGGCATTTTGGTTAACTTGGAGCAGCTGTGCTGTGCGTTTGAGTAGCTTGCACACACGTTTCCCACACAGGCCAGTGACCTCCTCCCGGGTGTGCCGGGTGAGAACCCACTCACTGGTGTGTTGCGTCTTCACGGCCCCTTCTGTGCGCTTGGGTCTAACACTGTAGAACGCCAGTCGCAAGCCCTCTGTCATCCGCTCCTCCTGCAGAGTCCCGGTCACCCTCATCCCCTCCCCATCCAGTGTCCCCGAAGCAATGGTGCGTGAAGGAGGACCATTGTGCGGGGAGGTCAGGGTCTACAGCAGCCACCTGGGCGAGGCCTCAGTTCTCCAAGCGAAGAGGGTAGGAGAACTTGGGCCTGGCCGGGCCCCATAGGCGCAGGGCCACCCAGACGACGACCCCCAGCAGCAAGAGGGCGCCCAGGGACCCGAAAAGGATCCCGAAGAAGGCGTCGAGTTTCAAGCTCAGGTGCTCGCAGCGCTTGCCCCAGGATGTGTAGATGGAGAAAGACTGGCAGCTGGAGACAGAGAGGGGCACAGTCAGCGGCCAGGAAGGGCTCGGCCTCCCCACCTGGCTGCTGCTGGGGCCAGTGAAGTTGTCTTGGACAGGACAGTCCACCCAGGGTACAGGGGCTGAGCTGGATTAAGACCCCAGGCAAAGGATCAATGAGTGCGCCTTAAAACACCTCGGTGTGTTCGATCCCCGGTACACACACACACAAAAAAAAAAAAATTAACTTTTTGCCGGGCGTGGTGGCGCATGCCTGTAATCCCAGCACTCGGGAGGCTGAGGCAGGAGGATCTTTGCGAGTTCGAGGCCGGCCTGGGCTACATAGTGAGCTCAAGGCCAGCCTGAACCGCATAGCAAGACCCTGTCTCAAAAAGACAAAAAAAAAAAAACAAAAAAACAAAACAAAACAAAAAAAAACACCAAAAAAACCCCCAAACCACCTGGGCGTGAATTCTTGAGTCCGCTGCCCTTCCCAGACACACGCCCGCACGTGCAGTCACAGACCCCGCCCTTGGGACAGAAGTGCGCACGTGCAATCAACAAATCCCGCCCCCTGGGACAGCCGTGAGCAGAAGTCAATCCCCAAAGTGCACATGCATAGTTGTAAAGCGCGGCCCCGCAGGGGACAAGTGCGCATGGGCAGTGGACAGACCCTGCCCCCACCAGAAGGGCAGGAGCGCAGTCACAAACCCCGCCCTCTCCTTTGACCTCATCTAGGACCGCAGTGGAGTGAGTGTGGACCAGGGAACTGAGGCGATCAGAGGTCTCCTGGGAGCCTCTCACACTGTTAATGTCTGGACGGGGCTTAAAGGGCTAGTTTAGGCAGCCTCCTCCGCGGGATCCTTTCCCCCAAGGGGACAGCACGGTGTCCTGCTGGTAACTTCCTGGGTGCCCTGGGCAGGTGACCTATAGTCCCTCAGCTGCAGCTTTCACACCTGCAGAGCGGTCATCACACCCACCTTGGGCTCCTTAGGACAGCATCTTTATTCTCCACGCACTCTCCTCCCCAGGGCCCTCTCCCCTGTTCCCTGATCTCCCATCCAAAGGAAGCCACCTCCCACCTGCAGTTCGGCCCATCCGGCAGGTGCTGGCACTGGCCTCCGTGCCGACAGTAGCCCTCGCTGCATGGGGACACGCAGGTGACTCCGTTCTCGGGGCTGTAGACTAGGCGGTAGCCCTCGTAACCGTCGCACTTGAAATACAAGCTCAGGTTGTTCGAGTTTACTGTCAGGAAAGACAGAGACACACAGAAAGCAGGTGATCAACAGTTCATAACTTTTCGATCCAGAATTCCGCGTTCAGGGCTTTATCCTGAGAAATACTTGGAAGAGTGAGGGTGCACAGGTACATCTTCCTGTGGGGAACTGGATGGGTGTGGTTGATATCAACAGTGTTTAAGAGGAGGCAATCTTGGTGAGTAAGTTATTGTATATTCTTACAAAGGGAATGACAGTTGGCCAGTATGGAAAATGTATTAGTGAAGAGCAGATGCTTCGAAGTTGGCCAGACCCGAGAGAAAACTTGAACTCTGCTACTAACTAGTTTTTTAATTTAGGGAAAAATTCCTGACTTTTTCTGCCTCCATTTCCATATTTTAAAAATTATTTATAACATTAACACTTATGTAGATGTGGGATTTAAATGAGATACCATAGGGAGAATACACAATACTGACTGATACAGTAAGCACTCAATATATGGTGACTATTATCACCATGTATTTAAAATCTAAGACACTATATTCAAATACATTATAAAATACAGTACCAAGGGAAATATGTACCCAAATGTGGGGTAATATATCCACCATTATTTAATGTGGAGCCTATCAAACAGTAGATATAACTCAATCCCTTAATTAAAAAAATTCATGTGTCTAGGTTGCCAGGTAGAAAAGAAAGTTTAGGGCTGGGCATAGTGACACATGCCTATAATGCCAGCATTTAGGAGGCTGAGGCAGCAGGATCACCTTGAGTTTAAGACCAGCTTGGGTTGCCTAGTGAGTTCAAGGCCATCCTGAGCTATATAGCGAGACTCCATCTCAAAAACAAACAAAAAAGAGGAAGAGGAAGAAGAAAAAAAGGGGAAGAGGAGGAGGAGGAGGAGGAGGAGAAAGTTAAGAAAGCTATGTACAAAATAGTGTCTCTGGGAATTGGGATTACAGGGTTTTCTCTTGCTTCTTTTGAACCTGTGTTTTCTAAAGTTTTTTGTGCTTATCCAATAAAAACTGTGGGTTTTCTTGAACAAGCATCTTAGGACTGCTCCCTTCCCCCCCCCCTGTTCCACCACCCCGACTCCCCCACACAGATGCCCCAAGTGGAAGGGGCTGGACGCCGGGCTCTAGAAGCAGCTTTAGCCTGGCGCGGGGCCCAAGCGGGAGAGCAGTTCCTGCTGCCTTGGGAATGGTCACTCTCCTCCGTATTCTCTACTCCATTCCCGAAAATGATGGCAGTGGTGGGAACTGTTCCTTTGTCTTCCCATTCCAAGGGAACCAAGGGCTGTGATGGTTGACAGGGGCCCTGGAAACCCAGGTCAGTCCAGACTGGGCGTTGAGGCCTGGCTTGGGGCTGTGCTTGCTCTTCCAGGAAGAGCATCTCTGCCCCTGGCCGCTCCCCAGTGTCCACCTGGACACCCTGCGGCTGGGGGCAGTGGTGGAAGGGATGTCATTGTGTGTGTCTAGCGCAATGGCGTTGTAAGAAAACTACGAAACCATTAGCAGTACCTGGGGGAAACGACTCCCTGGCTGTGGGTCCCCTGGGAACCCTTGTCCACCATGGTGTGTGGGTCAGCGATCTGTGACAGTGACCTTGCTCCATTTACCCGCCTCTGTCCCCCCTAATTGTCCCTGTACAAGATCGAATGACTCACGCGGAGCCCGGATGTCCAACACATCTTCCCTGCTGATGGGCTGGAAGGTCACGTTGGTCCGGGCCTCTGTGCTCCTCCTCTGCCTCACGCCCCGAGCCTGGGGGAGGAAGGCGCTGACCACCGCGTTCAGGAGCTGATTGTTCAGGAAGTGGATGACAGGGCCCCGGGGATGGTACTCGAACTCCGAGACCACCGTCCAGTGCTGGATGGAGTGGCGTCCGGAGGGCAGTGCCTCAGTGGATTGGCTGTGTGGGAGAGGAACAGTGAGCGCCTCAGGTGGCCAGGGAGAGGTCGGGTGGAGACCAGGGCCCAGACAGGGACAGTCCACGCACTCACCCGCGCTCCACACGGCTGTTGCGGAGAAAGGCCCGCACGTCCAGGTGCCCCAGCTTATACGCCACCTGGGAGGGAGGATGGCAGAGAGCGTGTGGTGGCGGTGAGGCCGAGACAGAGACAGCCACTGTCCCTGCGCCTGTTCATCCTGTCAGGGTCACCTTTCCATAGTCGCCCAAGACCGGGCACATCTCCCCCCACACTCCCAGGCCAGTGACTGGGCTGAGGCCTTGCTCAGTCAGACTTGGCGGTAAATGAGGCGCTTTACATTCTTCCCTCTCTGGCCTCACGTCACAAGGGGAGAGTCTGAGAAGGACATGGCAGCACACGCCTGTGATCCCAGCACTGGGGAGGCTGTGGCAGGAGGATTGCAAGTTTTAACCCAGCCTGGGCAACTCAGTGACTTAGAAAGACCCTGTTTCAAAATTTAAAAAAATATAAAAAGGACTGAGGATGTAGCTCAGTGCCAAGGCCCTGGGTTCAACCCCCAGTACCACCAAAAAGAGGGAGGATCTGATCCTGCTCACCCACTCAGCCCCACCTCCGTGTGTTCAAAACATCAGTTTAGCTGGACCTAGGGGCGGTCAGGTGCCAGGTGGTCAAGGCGACTCAGGAGTGGCCTGTGCTCTAGGAGCCCACAGTCAGGTGCAGCAGACCAAGGCCAACAGATTCTACCCCTCAGCGTGTGCGGTGCTGCGGTAGTAGCAATAGCAACACTAATAATTTTCTTCTTCTTTTTTTTTTTTTTCTTACTAGGCTGGCCTCAAATTCAGAGATCCTCCTGCTTCAGTCTCCCAAGTGCTGGGATTACACACGTGTGCCACTATGCCTGTAACTTTTGAATTATTATAAACTTGTGTGTTTCAGGCACCATGCTAAGTACTTTACTCACATTATTATTTAAACCTTGACTCAAACTTTTGATATAGATACTGTCATTAACACTATATACACAAGCCACTAACTTATCTAATTTCTCTTTTTTATCCTTCCTCCTTCCCTTCCTCCCTTCTTCCTTCCTTTCTTTCTTTCTTCCCTTTTTTCCTTCCTTCCTTCCTTCCTTCCTCCCTCCCTTTCTTCCTTCTTGTTTTCTTTTTTGTAGTACTAGAGATTGAACTCAGGGAATACTGAGCTATATACTTCCAGCTTTTTTTATTTTTTAATTTTGAGGCAGGGTCTTGCTACATTGCCTGGGCTGGCCTTGAACTAGGGAACCTCCACTCTTAGTGCTTCCTAAGCTTCAGGGACCCCAGTGTGCACCACTTTGTCTAGCTGCCTGTGTGATGATCACATGATTCTAGCAAGTGGCAGGCAGGGATCTGAACCCCGTGTGCAGTAGAGCTCAGCTGCTTTGCCTGTGATCAAGGTGCGGACAGGGCCTGCAGGCCAAGAGGAGGGACCCCCAGTTCCCCGGGGAAGTCAGAGCGCAGGGGAAATATCCCTAGTGTTTCTCTCATATCACACCCCAAAGCTCAGGTCTCGAGAGGAGCTCAGGGGGATGGGTGACGTGGCCCCTTAGGTTCCGCTAATAGTGACTGCTGAGTCTAACCCCTCCCAGGGTCTCTCTGCTGAAGTTCCTGACCCCATCCCATCTTCCCTGAGGAAGTGACAGCCCTGCCCTCGCCAGATACCACCAAGACGCATCGCCATCAGCACTGACCGAGGCGTTCACATCTTCCTTTTCGGCGCTTTCCTCCTCATGGAGCGACAGCTGGATGGTCCTCAGGGGAAGCTCTGGAGGTGGAGGAGCAGGTCTGTCATCCCCAGACACCCAGACTGAGCCCTGAGGCTCCTTGGGCCTGCGCTTGGGGACGGCTCCATTCCACGATGGTAGAGGTCACCAGAGACACCGGAAGTGGCCAGGTCTCTGGCCACAACCCAGGGCTCCATCTGTGATCCCCCCACATCTCCCAGACCTGCGAGGCCACTGCTTCAGTCTGTCCTCAGCAGGCCGCACAGGCCTGCACTGTGACAGCTTCCATCACGAACTCCCACGGCCCTCACTCAACACATGGGACAAACTCAGGGTCTGAGGAGCTCAGCCTTGGGCCCCCAATTCCCCAGCTTCCCCAGGATGCCCAGGTGGGTGTGGGGACAGCAGGGCATCTGCTCATACCTTCGAGGATGGAGGGAACGAAAGCATTGCCTGCCAGGAAGCAGCGGGCGTCTGTGAAGGCCGGGGGACAGGTACAAGCGGGCTGGCAGCCCTGCACCAGAGATATGTAGCAGTGGCCGCGGTTATAGCAGTAATTCGTGGGGCAGGACTGGTTCTGACAGAGGAGGGCTGTGGAGGGGGCGGCGGTCAGCAGTCCCACTGGAGCTGTCAGAACAGAGGGCCCAAGGGAACACCTTGGTTTCTTCTCCCCATGCCTGCTCCACCTGTGTTCCGCCTGTGGGCTGCTCTGAATCCAGACTACCCTCCTCCCCATTTCTCTGTAACCCATCTTCCTTTGCCAGGTAGGCTCTGGTTCACTTCAGCAGGAGTGGAGTAGTTTTTTGGTTTTGGTTTTTTGAGACAGGCTCTCACTACGTAGTTCAGGCTGGAGCTCAGACTGGCCTTGAACTCATAGTGATCCTCCCTCCTCAGCCTCCTGAGTGCTGGGATTCCACCACCCCCTCCAAGCCCTTCTCCTCTCCTGGCTTCTTAGAGTGAGCGTTCCACAGACTTTCGGGGGAAGAGGAGGCAAAGTGTTTGCCTGTGGCTGTCCTCGGTCCTCTCCATGTCGTCGGGCCCCAAGCCCCTCCTGCCAGGGCCTGCTCCTGGCTTACCTGCACAGTGCCTCCCGTCCCCAGCCATGTTCAGGGGGCAGGCCCCGCAGCCAGCCCCAGGGGTGCACTGCACTTTCGGGAAGCACGGCTCATCACAGGGGTCCTTGGAGCGTTCACAATGGCGGCCAAAGGTGTCGCTGTTGCACCGGCAGCTGGCCTCCTGGAACAGGGTGATCAGGAAGCTAAACCATGAAGGGTTTCCAGTTCTCTTCACGGACTCCTCTGATGTGAGAACCACAGGCTCTGAGTCCTTGCCTTAGTTCTTTTTCATTTTGTTTGGTTTAAAACATGGTTTTGTTATGAAGTCCAGGCTGGCCTCAAACTCAATATTCACCCAGGCTGGCCTGGAATTCAAAGCAATCCTCCTGCCTCAGCCTCCCAAGTGCTGGCATGACAGGCGTGCTTCTCTTGTCTCAGTTCTGCCAGCATCTCCTGAACACCTTGGCGAGGTGGGGCCTGCAATCCCTGCCTAACACCACACCATCCTGCTGCCCACCCAGAGTCCCTGACCCCTGTGGAGTGAGATGGGGGAGGAGGCAGGGAGGAAAGAAAGACGGATGGGGCAAGATTCAAGGATGTGGGCCAAGCATCTTGGCTTAAACTTGGATGGAAGGGATTTTCCCAAAACTGGAAAAGAGATGCTTCTGTGAGCTGGGGGGAGGCAGTGAAAGAGAAAATAACGGGGCTTGGGTTGTTGACGCAGAGGGATCTGCACCCATCTTCCCGTCGCCATGGTGATGAGACCCAGAGAGCATGTCTGTGTGCTGCTCTAGCCAGACGTGGTGCCGATAGCTACTGGAGATGGCTTCCTGGCCTGAGCAAGAGACAGTGTGGGGCAGGTGGGGTCATGGCAGAGCTGGGGCAGAGGCCGGTGCAGACCCCTGCCAGGGTGCAGAGACTTTCCCGCCCCACACGGTGCCCTGCGCTGGGCACTGTAGGAAGGGCTGAGGGGGGTGTTTCCAGCCAGCCTGGTAGGACAGGTGTGGGACACAGCTCAGCCACTGGAATACAGAGAGTGCTGCTTCTTCATACTTGAGTCTGTGGCCCCATTGCTCACCTCCACCTTCCTGCACCCTCTCTGCTTTGCACAGAAATCCCCCACTGCTCACCTCGAGGGAAGAGTTGCCCACCCGGCGGGTCTCACTGTACAGACACTGGCTGGTTGCATTGCAAAAGCAGGCCACCACCTTGGGCTGGAGGACAGACAACAAGCCGGTCCGGGGGTCTCGAGCTAGAATCTCCAGGGTGACTGGTTCTGGCGACTTTGGGGTCCACAGCAAAGTCCCGTTGTTCTCTGTGGGGAAGAGGGGGTGGTCAGGAGCTGGGAGACCCCTGCTCTGTGGGCTGATGCAGCCTGGTATCTAACCCCGGATGGCTGCTGCTAGGCTGTCCCCTCCCCCAGATCACCCCCAGTGCTCATTGGACGTCTCCTTTGAGCAAAGCCGGAATCATGGGGCGACCATGCCTGGTCCTAAGGGAGGGAGGCAGTGCCAGCCCTCCTCACTGCCCGCAGGTGGAACCCCACGAAAGGAAGCCCGTTTCCTGCTCAGAGCTCTCTGTCTGGGCCTGGCCATGATGGGGTGTCTTGTCTTGGGGACAGGTTGGGGTTGGAGGCCGGATGCTCCTGAAACTTCCCCAGGCTACATACACCACAGCCAAACTGGATTCACCCACAGCAGTCCTACCCCTGGCCCTGATTTCTCATGATCCCGCCCCTTTTTTTTCCTGGGCCTTTGACCAGCTCCTTCAGACACCAACCTAGAGGGAAACCCTGCTGTATGTCTCTCATCAACTTGGGTTATGCTTTTCCAGGAAGGAGGAAAATTTTTTTAAAGCAAGTTAGAAGGATCTGACAGTAAATTCCAGGTCACCGAGCTTCAGGAGAGGAGCATCTTGCGATGCCACTGTCTTGTGCCCGGGCAGATGCCACATAGGATAAGACGGACCAAGACGAAACAGTCTCTTCCTAGGTTCAGAGAAAGATAATGAGGCAGAGAGGTGATCACCCCTGAGGGTCTTGGTTTAGCAAAGAGCAGGAAAAAGAAGAAAAGCAACACCCTGTGCTTTGTCTCTTTGCCCCAGCCCATACATGCTACCCTGAGGGTTCCTAATGCCCTTATTAAGAGAAGACCACAAGCTTCACCTGGTCTTAGCACAAAAAAAATCAGGCAAGAGGCTGAGCCAGGCAAACGTGGCTGATCACAAAGACAGTGAGAGGGGCTGGGGATTTAGCTCAGCGGCAAAAGCGCCTGCCTGGCAAGCGCAAGGTCGTGAGTTCGGTTCCCGGTACCGGAGAAAAACCAAAAAAAAAAAAACAAAGACAGTGAGAAAGGAACCAAGTGAAGATCTTTGTATTTCTTTAAGTTTTGTCCCACATAGTATCTTATTTTGAACTGAGATGAAGATGTTATAAATAAGTATTTTTAACTGTTGCAACTGAATATTCTAATAATTTTGTGAGGGCATAATGATGATTAAAGGCAGTCGCATTGGGCAGAGATGAAATGACATTTGAATCAATGATGTGTGCCCGGAGTCAGTCTTGTATTTGCCCACATGGTGGAAGGCCTGGTGTTACTGTCCCGTGGAGGGCACCTGTTTGAATTGCTGATACTTTTCTTAGGAAATGCTGGGCCTGAGTAGTCAAAGGAGAAAAGAGTGAGAAATGGTACAGGTGAAAGAGATACAAAACCATCCAACTGGACTCTGATTCCATTTTCTACGCACTCCATTCCCACCCCAGACAAAGGTTCCTACCAAAATGCTGGAAGGAGGTGTTGGTCCCTTGGAGCTTGAAGGTGATGTTCGCAGAATCGCTCGTCCACTGAAACGTGGAGGTCTGGTCCTTGTAGGCTTCGATCACGTGGCTGCCGTTAATGGAGGGTGGGAACTGATCTGAAGCACGGGAGACAGGATCTGAGGCAGGCTGCCCCCTGCCTGCCCTGTGTCCTCTCTTTCCCTGACTTGTACGAGATGTCCTCGGGCCTGAGACCCACCCTCAGGGAGCCGGAGGCAGCCTGTGTCCCCGTCCTCAGATATGTGCAGAGCAGCTCTGCCTCGTGCTGGCCACCTGTTTAAATTTTCAGCTTCTCTTTCTCTGCCCCCTGCTCTACCATTCTCACCAATTTATGTTCTTTCCTGAACAGGAGGCTATGCTAGGCCTGGCGCAAAGTGAATCAGAGAAGCGGATTGTTCAGATCACCATATTCCGCCCTTGAGAAAGGGCCGAAGGCCATGGGGACGATATCTATATGGACACTTGTGGGAGCTGGCACTGAAAAAATATATATAAAGCACCTTGCGTCTAGGCTGCAGATGTGGCCGTCCTGACGGGTCAGCTGAGAACTCCGTGGACAGAGTGTGGCATGTCTTGGAGCGGGGCCATAGCCTTGTAACCCAGGATGTAAGCACATTTTCTGTGCCGTTTCCCAAGCTGTCCCCAATACTCCAGCTCTGCTGTCCCCAGTGCAGTCAGCTCAAGTGAAACGTATACTTCCCTTAAACTACCTTTTAAACTCCTTTCTCTAAAATACCTTTTGTTCTCTTTTAGGGTGAAACACCTTGTTCTCATTAGGTACTTAAGACAGGGTGCTCCTTTACTAAACAGAGTAGTTGTCAGCTCTCCTCTGTCACAAGTCTTCTTTTTATGTGACATGAGTCATCGGAGATCATTGCCATCATCCTCAGTACTGACTAGGGAAGCCCCAGTATTGATGGGGGAATGACAACACTTCCTGTGTCTGAAATAAGAGGCAGTCAGACCTTCCCCGTGGTCTGTTTTTGGGGCCCTGCTTCACCCATTCATTTGTAATCAGTGAACCAACACCTAAAATGTAGGTGGCCTTATTCTAGCATACAACACCAAATAAGTAATGAAACAAGAGACCAGATGTAAAAAAATGTAGATGGTATTTGATTTTTTAAAATCACAGTAAAGAGGGGCTGGGGATTTAGCTCAGTGGCACAGCGCCTGCCTGGCAAGCGCAAGTCCATGAGTTCGATTCCCAGTACTGGAAAAACAAACAAACCAAAAAAAAAAAAAAAAAAACCATAAAAATCACAGTAAAGGACACATTGCCATGAATCCCCCTCAAACCTCACTTTGAATGTACTTATCCCGTCATTCTTGCCACTTTCTGAAGCAGTTCTGGAAGTACCCTTTCATGAGTCTCTTTGGTTCTGCTATTGTGGCTGCTTCAATATCCTGAATGGGTTTAAAATGTTTCCCTTTCCTGGTCATTTTGACTCTGGGGAGGAGCCAGAAGATGCACAGTGCCAGATGCAGTAAATAAGGTAGATGAAGGCACACTGTTATATTTTGATGAGTTTGCCTTTCTGAGGGATGACATTCAGCTGCAGCTACCATATTTATGATCACACTGTGAAAAACAAACACTCACAAAAGAGAAATTCCAGAACTGCTTCAGAAAGGGGCAAGACATATGGGATAAGTATGTTTGAAGCAAGGGGAAGGATGCTGAGGGGGATTCATGACAATGTGTCTTTTACTGTAATAGATTTAAAAAAAAACTTAAACACTCACCAGATACTTTGATCATACCTTATATCTGTGACAATTACAAAATACATTTAGCAGTTACAAATACAAGGAAAAAACAAGGCAGGGAAGGTCAGCAGTAAGGGCGGATGAAGGTGAAACTTTAGATAGGGCAGCCAAGAGAGAAGGTGCCCCACCTGTAGCTGCCAGAGACAGGGCCTTGCCAGCAGGGCAGCAGGGTGCCAAAGCTCAGAGTTGCCAGTGAAGCCTGTGTATGAAGAACTCGAAGGAGCTGGGAGAAGAGAGCAGAGTGCTGGGCAAAGGGGCCAAGGGCTGAATAGGGCCAGGGAGGCCCCTGCAAGGCGGGGTGAGCTGGGCATCATGGGCGGGTTTGGGGCCCAGGAGTGTGATGGGCACAAGGAATAGAAGGTGGAGGTAGTGGGGCATTGTGGGAGGGGCACATTCTGGGGGCAGCACTTACTGAGGGTGGTATTCATCAGCTGGTATGCTCTGAAGAGCGCCCTGGTGTGGAGGCCTGTGTGGGGGTCTCCAGTGGCCATCGTGTCGTAGATGCACTGTGCGTCCCCATCACACCCGGAGGCCAGGGATTTGTTTGCCCGCAGTTGGGAAAAGAAGACTGGGGTGAAGTTGGAAGGCAGCGGGTCACTTCTTGTGCCAAGGAGTCCTGTTCCGTTGAGAGCCCCTGGAACACACCGGTAGGATGGCAGCTGTGAGACTTCAGCTGTGTGTCCCCCTCAGTCTCACTGTGTGGGGCTCTAGCACGGAGCTGGGGACAGAATGGCTTCCAGCTTCTGAGTCTGAGAAGTCCTGCTCAGTGAGGGAGGGCCACCCACGCCCCCGTCCTCTCCTCCCACCAGAGATGTGCAGGTGGGAGGGAGGAGGGCACAGACTCGGGGTGGCCTCACCTACAGGCCTGAGGGAGACACAGGGCAACTCTCCCCTCCCTCACGCCCACACTCACAGGTCATTCCATAGTGGAAAAGCGTCTCCTCAGAGCTGCTGTGGGGGACAGAGGAGCCATTGGGCATCCTGAAGTCGTCTTCTGGGTTGTCATTCCAGACCCCTGAGGGACAGACCAGGAAAGTCAGCCATGTTGGGCAGGTGGCTGTCCCTTCCCTGGGCTCTGGCCTCGTGCTCTGGGGAGTGAGGAGGAGAAAGGAAGGAGGGATGTAGGGGATGGGTTGGCTGTATGTATTGCTGGTGGTACAGTCGCTCCCTAGAGCCATCCTGAATGCTCCTCAGAGGGTCGGGGGACAGGAAGTACCTTAAAGGCAGCTGAAGCAGCCCCTGCCCTTCCCTGCTGGCCGCGTACCCTAAACCCTGAGCACCGGCAGGGAGGTCCCGCGGAGGGTGGCCCGAGGGCCTGCCCCTCACCTAGGAGGCCCTCGGTGTGGTCCCAGTACTCCTCCGGGAGGCTGGCTGAGGCGTGGAGGATGTTGGAGAGGGCAGTCACTGAGACGGTCACCGTGCTGTCAAAGCTGGCTGAGACCAGGGAGCCGTTGCGAGCCAGCAGGACCCCAGGGGCAGAGAACATTTCTGTGCCTGGGAGACAGGGAGGCAGGTGAGGAAGCAGCCTGCACCATCACCCTGGGTCTCGGGACGCAGAGAGGGGATGCTGGGGTGTTCTGAGGGTGCCTTGTGCGGAGGCCCCACACCAAACCCTCAGGCCACCCTTGAGGTTTCTTCCTGGGGACTGAGGCGAGGGGAGACCGGAGTGGTGGACCCAGCACTGGGAGTAAGGAGGGATGAAAGGAGGAAGCGTGTAACGCCCTGTGTGCAAGGGGCATCGCAGGCCCAGGCGAAGAAGGGACAGACAGGTGACGGCTCTGCTCTGCCCGGTGCTGCCACCCCCAGGCGCTGACTTCCCCCCCCAGGGCACTGAGCACCCGCTGAGCCCTGCCTCCCTGGGGGCAGACGCTCCTTCCAGCCCACCTTCGGCCTCTTCCCGGCTGGTCTCAAATGTCACACTCTGGTTATTGTGCAGAACGCAGACCGTGTCATTGGGCCAGAGGAGAAACCGGACCTGGGTGGGAAGCGGAGGAGGCCTGAGCCCGGTCACCAGGCGGGGCAGAGGCCCTGGGCTTGGCTTCCAGGGGCCCTTTGGAAGGTTGCGTGCTCCCTCCCTCTCCCCTTCTTTGTCCTCTTCTTCCGCCTGGGCCTCAGTGTCCGGCCAGAGGTCACTGAGAGGCTGTCTTGGGGACACAGGGTACAGGGACATCCTGGGCACCCCTGGCTCACTGTGATGGGGTCCAGGCCGTGGGCCTTGTATTGAGCGGCAAAGGCAATGAAGTTAGTGGCGCTGGCGGAGCCGGTCTGGGCAGTGCGGCCCTGGAGCAGGAAGGAGGAGCTGCCGTCCTGGGCCTGGACCAGCAGGAAGTCCCCCAGCCCATTGAAGGTGAAGTTGGCGCCATCCAAGGTGAAGATATGGGGGTCCCCAAACATCCAGGCTGGAGGAGAGCAGGTACCACATTAGCAGACTGTGGCTAGGGCTGAGGCTCCCCAGCCCCCAGACGGGCACCTGTGCGGATGGACTCAAGCCTGACCAGGTGCTCATGGGCACGGAAACCAGCCCCGCCCCCTGCATCCGTGGGTCCCTACCCCCACCCCCCGCCTCCCTCTGCTTGCCATCTGCCCGCCCTGCAACTGTTCTCCCTTCCCATGTGGTCACAGCTTGCCCCCAGACCCTGGTCCTGCTGTGGCCCCAGCTCCATGTCCAGAGGCCACGAGTCTCCCTGTCCCCTCACCAGGCCGTGGGGGCCTGTAGGCAGCGCAGCCGACACGGGGCCGCCGTGCATGGTACAGGGCACAGAAGGAGGGCTTGTCGTTCCAGCGGCAGCACCAGTTCTGTGTCTCCAGTTCCCTGTCTGTGGAGAGGAACAGCGTGCTGGAGGCTGCGGGGCCGGGGAAGCAGCCCGATGACCCAGAGGGCCAAGACCGCACCGGTGGCAGCATGGCTTTGGAATCGGGCACGAGGCCGTTCCCACCCCGCCCTGCTCAACAACCTCTGCCCACGGGCCAGGTGCCGCTTCCCTTGCAGGTGTTTGGGGTCCCACCACGTGTGGGGACACGGTCGGAGCTGAACAAGCCCCGAGTGCGGAGGATGTGGCCAGGGCGCGGGGAGACAGGCTGAGGAGGTGTAGGGAGGAGGCTGTGTCCCCCATCCCTGCCTCTCTGTGCGCTCTTGCTCCCTCTAGGGTCTCCCACTGGGAGTTAACTCCAAATCTTCCCCTCAATAGCCTGCTAATGTGGGTCCAGAGGGACAGGGTCAGACGAGGTCCTCTCCCCTTTCTGGGAAGGATGTCCCCACTCATGGGCAGGCGTGGGGGCACATTCCTGTAATCTTAGCCCTCGAGACGCTAAGCCAGGAGGGTCGCCATGAGTTCAAGGGCAGCCTGAACTGCATAGCAAGACCGTCTAAAAAAAGAAAAAGAGAGACGGGGGCTAAGCTCTTTGGACTCACTCACCGAGCAGCTCGAGCAGCTTCGGGCTCTGCACACTCCAGCCTTCCCGGAACTCCCCCCAGGGCCCGTAGCTGCAGCACACGCCGCCACGCCAGGAGGAGAAGCTGCACAAGTGCTGGCCATGGGGACCCCGCCTGCCTGCAAGGAGGCCACACAAGCTCAGCAGGGGCACCTTGGAGGGGCGGGATACCGTAGAGAGGCGTTGTGGGCAGGGGGTGCCCCTGGGGTGGCGAGCAGGGACTGGGAAAGGTGGCCCGGGAAGAGGGGATGGTGGGTGGGCTTGAAGAGCTCACCTGTGCGGATGGGCTGGAACCGCAAGTCCCATCTTCCCTGTTGCCAGGAGCAAGGGCAGAAGATCGGCCTCCGAGTCCAGCTGGGCCGCAGGCTGCTCAGCCGCTGCAGGCACCGCAGGCGGAAGTTGGGCTTCTCCTCCCGGTGCAGCCTGTAGATCTGCAGCCCCCGGACACCTGGAAAGAAAGGGGAGCAGAGCTCAGCCAGGGCTTTCGGGTCCCCAGAACCTACAGATGCATTCTGCACAACTCCCGCCTCTCTGGAAGCTCTTCCTAGAGGGGCCCAATTCAAAACCAGGGTGATTCCTCCCCAAGCCCCCGGGCCTGAGCTTCAAAGCCCCCATGTGGTAGGTGTTAGGCAAAACCCTGGGGCCAGAGCTGGGCAGGGAAGCCTTGCCCAGATCCAGTGCAAGCCAAAGCTTGGCGTGGCCAACCCACCTCCCGCCCACCCTCTGTCCAAGCCAACAAGCCCCCCGCCCCGCCAAACCAACTCCTTGTTGCCAGACCTTGTATCTCAGCCTGGGACACCACCACTCACTGGTCATGCCGTCAGACCCTCCCCAAGCACAGATGCTCCAGTGGCCAAAGCACAGGACAGGGTGGATGCCTGGAGGCCACCGAGAAGTTGGCACATGAAGCCGGGGATGCTGCAGCCCCACAAGGCTGAGGAGGCGACCTATGCGCCCAGGCGCCATCTTCGGAAGGGGTGAGGACTCTAGGCCTTTAATTCCCTGAAGTCAAGGATGGCTCCAAAAGACAGAATGTAGAATCGGTCAAGAGAACTACAGTGTATTAAGATTTTGAAAAGAATATTCATCGCTCACGATGACATGTGTGTAACACACATACACACGCCTGCAGGAGAGGCATCCCCAATCACAAGCAGATGCATCTTGATGGAAGGGTCCTCAGGTGACAGGCCAGTCCCCTCCATGACCACCATGGCTTGACTCAGTTTAGATTTCTGATGCGCAGCAGAGTTACATTTATTCTCCAGCACGCACAGGCCCAGCTCCCGTGCCTGGGCATCTTTTGCTCTACTGTGTTTTAGAAACTATGATTTCTTTCCCTTTGAGGGTTCTGCATACCACGGCAAGTCATGTAGGCAGCACCATGGTTTACCTCTGGATACCTCTTTTTTCAGACTCCAGGCTCTTTGAGAACAAACATACTGGTGTTTTTCCTTTTTTTTCTTTTCCACTTTTCTCAGCGTTAGCACAGTGTCGAGAACACAGCAAGCGCTCTGTGAGTGCTGACTGACTGAATGTCAGGCCCCTGGACTCCCTCTTGGAAGGGTCCATTAAAGATCTCATCAGGGCTGGCAATTGGCTCAGGGACAGGGCACTTGGTGTATTGTCCCCCCACCCATGACTCTTGTCCTCCCTTCCGGGATCTGGACCCCCACTTGAAACCTGCTGGGCTCCCTGGTGGAGGGGGCGGTGGTGCTGTGACTAAGGGTGTGGGCTGAACTAGCTGAGCCTGGCTGGCAGTCTGAGCTCTCCTCTCAGCCTCAGACTGAATGCGGATGCGCCTTGGGACGGGGTGGGTCAAGGACCTGCTGTCTAGGACTACCACAGTGTACAGCATGGGGGACAAGAGAAGACTGAGGCAGCAAGGGTGGCACGGTGGTGCTTTTACCTAATTTGGGATCCAGGAACTGGTCTGGACGATACTTCTCCCACAGTGACCTGGACATCAGCGGGCTGTTCTCAAAGTAGCCGTCTCCACTGCGGGCAGAGGAAAGACTCAGGCCCTGTCAGTCAGTGGAGAGGTCCTGCCTAATTCCATGTCCCATCGCTGGCTGCAGGAACCGAGCAGGTCCACTTGGGCAGCGCACAGGGGTGTGGAGCAGAGCTCAGGCCTCCTTCCTGTCTGTTTCTTAAACTAGGGATGGAGGTACAGCAGCGCAGAGCTGGTCCCTGGACTTAGTAATGGAGTCACTTGCTAATTCCAGCTTGGGGACCCCAGGCAAGTTACTTACTTTTTGAGTAAGGAAGGGTAAAGCGGGGTTTCAGTAGCATCTGCCTCACAGCATGGTGAGGATTCGGCACAGTGACATTTGTAGGCCCCTCAGAACCAAGTGGGGACTTGATACAATGGCACTGCCAGACCACAAATGCAAGTGATATAGGGCAACCTGAGCACACCTCAGTATAAGAAGAAGCCTGTGTAACTATTACCCATAACAAATGGCAAGTGACCTTTACGATGATGGCCAGGTACCAGCCTGTGGTCTGGGAATGTCGTGGTGGAGATGCGGCTCCTCTGTACTCGGGAGCCCACTTGCAACCACCCACAGCCCCCTCCCTCCTCTTTCTTGGGCACCAGCCAGGCAGCCAGTGTCCCACTTAGTGGATAATTCCCAGGAATCAGAGAGGCAGACCCCAGCCTCAGATATCTGGGTTCAGATCCCCACTTTCTGGGAATGTTACTTACCTATTTGTGTCTCAGAAAGAGTATCTGCCTCACGGCTGCTTGTGATAATCAGTGAAAGAATGTACATGAAGTTCTTGGTGTAATAAATGTTGGCTGTCATTCCTATAATTTTTTGGGAAGCCAACAACAGCAATGGAAACCAGAAAGTCAGAACTACTACAACGCCCGGGGGCTGGAGTGGGGAAGACGGGCGAATGTTGGTATTAGCAACAGAAAAAGAGAGGCTCCATGGGAAGTGGGCTCAGCGGGGAGGGGTCACCCGCTGTTTCAGGGTGGGAGTGAGCTCAGCAAACGGCGCCTCCCCGTCACCTGCTCAGAGCGCCCCACTGTGCCCATCCTACCTGGAGAAGCCCATGAGGACAGGGTTGCCCGAGTGCAGAGCCACGTCCCACTGCATCCCAGTGCTCTGGTACAGAAACAGGGCATAGGATCTGCTTCCGTCCGTGGAGAGAATGGCTTGGTAGGTGTTGGTCTGGGGCGGGACAGAGGGGGAGGAACATGGGGATGCCTATGAGAGATCTGGGGTCTCCGCCTGGCCCACCACACTGCCACCGCACATGCCACCTATTCCAGTCTAGCCTGAGCAAAGGCATGGGCTGGAAATGCTTGCAGGTCTGCAGTGGGTGAGGGCAGCACCTGCTTGGGGTGTTGAAGCACCTACCATGTTAGATCTGCCTTGTTTGCGGCTATTTCCAGGGAGAGGGAATAAAGGGCTCTGGGCTGCAATCCAATTAGAAGAGGGTTTTGAATAGACAGCTTAGGAATGGAGCCATCAAATAAGACACCGGCACTGGGAGAGGCTTTGTCAGCTCCGTCAGGGACATCGAAAGACAGAGTCCAGTTCTCCTCTCCACACAGAGGGTGTGGGGGACCTGCAGGAGTGAGCTGGGGGTGCTCCCAAGGCATGTGCCTTGTCCAAAGTGGGTAAGAAGGCTGATCAAAGTCTCCGGAGACTGCGTGGTGATGCTGTGTTTAGAAGCCAGCATGTAGGGTGAGGAAAACCTCAGTCCCAGGCTTGGCTTTGTCATTTGCTAGCTGAGTAAGTTTGAGCAAATTCTACCTCTGTGGCTATTGTCTTCCTCCTGTCTAACAGGTGGATGATAACGTCAGGTAGACCCAGCTACGGACTGGCCATGGTGTAATTGTGTCCCCTGCAAGGGTTACTTGTCTGCAGGTGTGGTCCCCACATGGTGGTGCTGAGAGAGGTGAACATATAAGCGGGGGGACCTGGGGGTGTCCTTAGATCACTGGGGACATTAGGAATTCTCACGTGATGCGTCCTTGCCAAGCCTGCACCATGGTGTTTAGACCTCCCCCTTCTGTGGGCTAAGTAAACCTCTCTTTTCCACAAGTAGCTGGTTTTAGGTACTTTGTTATGGTAACAAAAAGCCGACTAGTACAAGCCATATGAAATCGCCAGTAGACAGACACTGCACCACAAAAGCCATTTCCTGTCCCTGGTTTACCAGCCTGCTGTGTGGTCAGGTAGGTAGATAGAGGGCTGAGGCCGGCCAGGGCCACTGCGCATGCTCAGCAAAATGGGTCACCATGGGGACTGCCGTGACTAGCGGCTTTCCTGGAGTCAGGGAGGATTCTAGCAGAGTAGCCACCAATAGCTAGTATCCTGCCCTGTCTTACTTCCAGACTGTGTGCGGGGAGCTGTCCGTGGTACACTCACCCCAGAGGCCTGCAGGGCAGGATAGGCAGAGACATTGACCCACGTGACCTTTAGGGTCCATTTGGCTCTGTAGTTCTGGGAACTTGTGAACTTTTTAATCATAGTCTCCACCTGCCGGACTAGTCGGTTGTATTCATTGTAGAGTGTCTCATATTCCTAGAAAAGGAAGGCAGATAAGAGCAAGGAAATAAGGGTCCTTCTCAACTCTGAGGGATCCCCACTTTCTCTTTGGGAACCTGCTCACTTTAGTGCCCTCATGCCACCACCCTTCCCTGTCTTAGGCCTCTTCTGACCTTAAAGTCCGTGCAAACTCAGGCTGCAGGGAAACCCAGTGTGGTGGAATTGGTGGGGAGGGGGGATCTCTCAGCCTGCAAATCCAAGTCCTGTGAACTTAAACTCTTGCATCTCTTAGCTCCAAGCAGGTCTGACGGCATGGCCAGCGTGACTACTGTTGTCTCCCTATGTCACCTGGTGGCTCCTTGAGGACAGGTACGTGTCCCTCTATCCTCAGAGCCTGCGGGGTACCTTGCTTGTGGCTGTGGTACAAACACATCTGCGGCAGTGGCCTTCATTTCCTGCATCCACTGACTGGGATTAGAACCAGTCCAGGAGCACAGACAGCATGGACCCTCTACAGCCTTAATTTAAAACCTAAGGCTGAATTTCTAGTCCCCATCCCTGCCACCTCAGGTCTTCACATGGTCAAGGTATGGCGTAGACATTCCTCCTGCCAGCTGCCATGTTTCAGCTCCGGTCCCTGCCCGCAGAGCTCAGGCTGGGACAGCGGGGACACCCTGGGTTATTCCTTACAGCCCGTGGTCTCCTCTGGCAGGCTGCTGGGTACTCGGGCTTTGAAGGCCCACCTGGTAAAAGATGGTCCCACCATGGCTGGAGAAATCGGCATTATCCCAGAATGGAGCCACAGTGGCCACCGTGTGCTGTCCGGTGAACCCTCCCGGGGGTGGGTTGGGGTAGGCCAAGATATGGTTGTCTGACTCCGGGAAGAAGATCTGGCCATTGTCTGTGAACTGAGCACCAGGGTTCTTGGTTAGTATTCAGGGAGGGAGGAGGTGAGATGTCCCAGCCTTGGGCCAGCCCCCCTGAAGTGACATCCCCAAGGACCTCTCTGAGGCGAAAGTCAGAGATGTCAACAATGCCTGCAAGATCACCCCATCTATGTCCTTTCTTCTGGGGGAACCTTTCACACAGTGACCTAACGCATACTCTTCCTCCTGAGGATGTTCCTCAATAGTTTTTTTTGTTAATTCTTTTGTTTTTTTTCGGTACCAGAAATCGAACTCATGATGTCGCGCTTGCCAGGCAGGCGCTATGCTGCTGAGCTAAATCCTCAGCCCCTGTTCCTCAATTCTGAGACACCAGCTATGTCCTGCCTCAGTGGTAGGACTCTGGCTGTGGCCCAGCCTTTCACAGAGGGGTAAAGCCCCTCAGCCTCCTCTTGAAGCTTGTGACCCAACAAATCGGGCTGAAAGAATTGACATCCTCGGTCCCAACACTGTGGTGTTGCCCTCTCACTGTGTGTTCTGCTAAGTCCCCTCCCTGAGGGACACAGAGACCACAGTGTTCCAAGTCTATTGTGGGACTCATGGTCCAGAGAACAAGGAAGTAATCCTAGAAAACAGAAACGGCATCAAGTCATGTTTCCCAAGTATAGCTTCTTATTCATATATAGATAAAAATAATAAAATAAAAATAAATTAAAAGGCATTGTGAAAACAGCAGTGAGCTCAAGGGCCCCTGATCTCTTTTTACTTAGGTAAGGACATTTTTGTCCACACAAGAAGAGAATCTTGCTCCCTCTTTTCCTCAGCTAGACCCCTGACAATAAAGATGGCGGCCTATCAAAGATGGCGCCCATTCTCTGTCCCTCCTGGCTGTCTCCAAGTTGGACACAGAAGCAGGGCCCTGGGAGCACAGGCCATGGGTCCTGCCACTTGGGCTGCAGTTGGAGACTCACATAGAAGGAGTCCCACAGAGAGGAGCCAAGAGGAAAGCCAATCTTGATCCTGAAGAGCTGTGAGGTAAAGTCCACAGTCCTCTCCACAAAGCGCTGGTCTCCTTCGCTTGTCCCGTATGGGAAGAGGGAGACACCTGGGCCAGGAGGGAAAGAGCATGAAGTCCATGTGGGCCTTGGCCTGCTTTCAGGCTCAAGGGAGGCCCCACTGGGCTTCCCCACCATTGTTCCTCATGCCTGTCCTCTGTTCCTCAAGGGGTTCCAGGACACCCTCACTGGAAGGCCCCATCTCTCTGCCTTTCCACAGGGCTCTAACCCATCTCCTCAGTTTCTCCCTCAACTGGTCCTCTTGCCATTCCCAAGACTGGAGAAAAACAAGTTCTGCAGTCCGAATACCAACACATGATCCTGCCTCTGTGTTAGTAGCCATAATTCTTTTCAAGGATTAAAAGCAAACCTTTGATTCTGGGAAGAGTCATTTTTAAAAGACCTTTTCATGGAATGGAAATTGTTTCCTAAGATGGTGTTTCTCTAGATAAACTTGAAGACATCCTCCCCATAGAATTTGCTCTAGGACTTTCCCCCAGAGGTACTTGGGCTCCACTATGAGAAATCTCATTCTAAATTTCTCAAGTGGGCCTTTGTCCTTATCGGTAGCCACAGACCCATTGGCGCCCTCTTCTGGTCTTGCTTGGAATACTGCGGCGGTCCCTACAGAGCTCACTTAGAGCTTTTGCAGTAGCATCCCTGCTAATTGGTCCACATCAGGCACTATAGTGCTATTCGCACAGTACAAATCTATGTCCTCTCTAGTTCCCCTTGCAGGATTCTTGCACACACCAACCTTCTCACTACTCTTCACCTAACCTCTAGCAACCCCAAATTCTTTAGGGCTCTTCTTCCATTGCAATGTTAGGACTCGGTTCTCACTTGCATGCCTTGCTCCAGCTCCTCAAACCCTCCTGCTTCCTCGGGGGCTCCCCCTCCCCCAGCTCCTCTTCACTCTTGCCAGGAAACCTTGAACCTATTTCCTCTCTTTTCAGGGGCTTTCCATTGTGTGCACCTAGTGCCCTGGCCTTGCATCCACAGGACAACCAATCAGTCCCCTGACAAATGGCACCAGGGTCATTTCCCTACCTCCAGCTCCTCGCCCAATGCCATGCACAAAGCCCTCTTTAGAACCCAAAAGTGCCCTTCCACTGCCCCCTAAGGCCCTTCTGATCTGAGGGAGCAGAGACTACACAAGCAGGCTGGGATTGTTACACTCCTCAGAAAGGAATATGGGGAGCAGCTGGATTTGCAGTGGCCAGGTAGAGCAGTGGAGGTACCCAGAGAACTGCTTCCCCCAACCACACACAAGGACCCTCTCGGCAAATCCAGTCCAGGCACCACCATCACAGCTTCTGCATCTGCAGGGGAGGGCTCCCACCTGCAGGGCGACACTCACCTGGTTCTGGCTTGACAGGACCCGAGGAGGGTGTGGAGTACAAGCCCATGAGTGTGCTGGCAGTGGAGGTTGGGAGGGTTCGGGGGACTGTGGGGAGTGGAGAGGCCACTGTGCTCTGGGGGGTCGTGGTCACTCCTGGACACACAGAGAGAGAAGACAGGAATGGCTCAGACAGACAGCGAACAGCAGTCAGAGACTGAAAGACACTGGGAGCTAGAAGAGACAGCTCAAAGCCTTCTTGATGGTCTGCTGGTCATGCCCAACCCACTCCCACGTAAGCTGGTCTCTGCTGGGGCCAAGGGGGTGGGGGACTTGTCATGCCGCACCCGCCTCACTTTAACCTCTGTGAACCTGACCTCAGCCCTGGCCAGCAAGGCTTCCTCACGGAGTGGTCAGGCACTCCTCTAGGGTGACTGGAGGCCAGGGCCACTATAGGTGGAGACACTGGGTTCCTCTCCTACCTGAGGTTTCGGCCTTCTCCGGGGAGCCTGAGGATGGTGTGGATGGCGAGGAAGGGCTGGTAACAGACAGGGGAGAGGTGTGAGCTGCGAGGCGGGTGGCGGTGCTCCACATGGAACTTCCTGCAGGAGCAAGGGATGGCTGAGAAAATGAAGAATTACTGATTGAAGTGTGGAAACTTGGCGTGGTCTGGTCTGTGTCCACCTTAGCAGCAGAAGCAGAACCAGAGGAAGAAACATCTGTGGATGGCTGTAGAGTAGGATGCTTAGATGGTGAGGAAGTTCCCAGAGTGCTCTTGCTTGAAGAGTAGTTTGTAGGTGAAAATGATAAAGCCAACGTAGAGCCAACTGGACCACCATGACTGTTTGTGGGACCCATATACACTGAACTTGTCCTGGGGTTGGTGGTAGATGGTGTGGTCTGAACGGTTTTAGGATACTCATGGGTGGGTGTGGTTGAGATGCCCAGTGAGGACAGTGTGGTGTTTGGCACGGTCTTGTCAGAACCTTCAGAATGAGAGACCCCGGCAGTCTGGTTCTCATGGACCACTGAGCTTGAGCTTAGTGTCAGAACATCTCCACTTGCGGACCAACCTAAGGAAGGAGAATGAGAAGCAACATCACTGTGTGCAGTGGGACTCACCACACGTGGCCCATCAGTTCTCAAGGGTGACAAAGTTGGTGCTCTTGTCTGAGTCCCATGGCTACCACTGACTGGGGTTGGAAGAAAGGTTTTAGTGGTGTCTGAAGGTGGCAGGATGTGGGCATCAGTTAGCAGAGACATGTGCCCACTTGGAGTGGACGTAGGTGGGACTGTGGCTGTTGAGATGGTGTCCATCACCAGCGAGACCAAACTGGTGGTTTCAGATCCTCTGGTGGTTCCTGTACTTTGGGTCTGCGCCATCTTGGAAATGGCTGATGTTTCCTGAGAAGAGCTGATGAGAGAGGTTGGGGTTGATAGGTCAGTTAGGTCAGTGGCTCTGCCTGTATTTGAGACATCAGACATGGTGGGGGAAGAGGTGCTGTGGACGAAAACAGACTTTACTGTCGTCTCTTGGGTACTGTCACGACTGGTGGCAGCGGACAGTTCAGCTAGAGATTGAGCTGTTTGGCTATCAGTGAAGGGAGTAGAGGAGAAGCTGCGGGTGGAGGTAGACGGGTCTGGGAGAGCACTTCCGGGACTGCCTGTGCCCGCTGCTGGGGATGAGGAAGTGGGAGTTGTGCCTGAGGGTTTGACGGCGTGCGCTTCTACAGAGACGCCCCTACTCGGAGTCTGTGGGCTGGGAGGAAAAGAGGCTGTGTCCTGAGCAGAAGTGCCGGAAGACACTGTTGTTGACAGTCCCGCTGGCGCAGCTGTTATTGAGAGCCCTGAGGTGATGGCCACAAGACTTGTGGGTTCAGGTAGGAGTGTGTCCCTCGTGTTTCCGGGAGCAGAGTCTGCGGAGGCTGTCGTGGTGACCACCGCTGATGTCACTGCGGGTGTGCTGCTGCTGACGCTGGAGAGGGCTGATGCACCTGAAGAGGAAGATGGCTCCCGAGAAAGTGTCACTGCCAGACTGTTCCCGCCTGGGGAGGACGAACGAGCTGTCATAGTCACCGATGTGCAGGTGCATACTGGACATTCCTGGGTGGCCTCCATGCTTTGACTCTGTTGACGCTGAGGAAAGTTGCTGGACAGTGGTGCTCTTGATTGTCCTGATGCAGCTGTCACTGAGACCCCTGCGGTGACTGGAGTGACGCTTCCTGTTGTAAGCAGGGATTTGCCCTGGAGCGGAGGAGTGGAGTAGAGTGGAGGATCTGGAGCGGAGTTCGTCCTGGTAACCACTGCTGGTGTCACTGAGGGTGTGCCGCTGACATTGGAAGGAGGTGAGGTGGTGGCTTGCGGTGGAGAGGACGCCTCTTGAGAGGCCGTCTCCGTCAGGGCATTTCCACCTGGGGAGGATGGAGGGACTGATGTGCTCACCCCTGCAAGGCTGCTGGTTTGAGACTCTCTGGTGGTCTCCACACTCCTAGCCTGGTAGTCCCGAGGAGAGGGAGGTGTGTCCCGAGATGAGGTGCTGAATGGCGGTGCTGTTGATGGTCCCTTTGATGCAGTTGTCACTGAGATGACTGGAGTGAGACTTCCGGTTGCAGATGGGGACGCATCCCCTGTGCTTCTTGGAAGAGAACCTCTGAAGCTTATCCCATTGAGGGCCTCTGATGTCGCTGGAGGTCTGCTGCTGACACTGGAGAGTGGCAATGTGTTTCCTCCCTGTGTCGTGTATCCTTGGGATGACAGAGAAGGTGATGTTGCTGATGCGTTATTTCCTTTAAACAGAAGACACAGGGCTTTGTGAGATCAGAGAGCTTAGTTCAGCGGGAGCAGAGGCATGACACAAGTATTTTGCACATGTAGCACCCCACATCATTTTCCTAGAATTCTCTTTCCTAGAATGGCTGTGGGCAGGCCAGGTATTACCAGGTCTCAGGCATTAAGCACAGCCAGGGATCTGCAACACGGGCACACCCCTACTGACACACAGCTGTGCCTACGTTCTGCTTCCACTCTCACGTTGAGATGGTGACAGGGAGTGACAGCAGCCCCCCGCTTCCCTGTGGGAAGCCTGGAAGCCCAGATCTGCATCCTTCTGTCCCACAACACTCTTACCTCAAATGCACACACAGATCAGCTGATCAAAGCATGTCAATCACCCCGTGTCCTATACACATATTTTTCAAACACTAGCGAGGAGGTGAGTACCCTGCTTTCTCTTTCTTAGTCCGCTTTTCTTCTCCTGTTCTCATCCTTCGTCCTTTCAGTTTTTCTTCTCACCTTTTCATCCTATCCCTAAAGTCTCTCCCCCAGGAAAAACTCCACGATCCTCTGCCCTCACTCATCCCTCAAGGAGCCGTCTGAGATGACTTGGGAACTGGCCAGCAGCAGGACACCGTTTGGATAGCAGAGACAGCAGAACAAGGTGCGTGTGGGCCATCGCGTGCCGCATAAGGGGCGCTGCTGTCAACCGTGGCCCAGGAGACTGTCCCGCGCGCGGAGGGCGTGGAGCTCTTCATTGGCCTGTGCACTCTGATGTTTGCACTATGATTTTACTGCCACACGGGCTATTTCTCAGATTGTGTCCCCGCCTTGCCATGACTCGTGCGTGTGTGTGAACGCTCTCCCGGTCTGAACACGGTGCTTTGGCACCTGCTAAGCAGCTTCCTTTATTCTGTCAAAAGTAGTTGAGTGAGAACCGGTGATGTGGGAGAATTTAGGGGGACTCCAGTGAAGGCGACGCTCTTTCTTCCTGGGGACATCCGGAGGCCTTTTTGGGAATGGGGTGAGGAGGGTCTCCTGCCTTCTGTTCAGCTGCGTAGTCCAGTGATGGTGAACCTTCTAGAACCTTCAGTGATGACAAAGCCTGCTGTGGCACATGCACCGCAGATTCGCCAGCGCTGGCACAGCCCCTCATTTCGTGTTGGTTTCCCCAGGCACTGTCATTGCCACAGTGTCTGCCACCAGTTGGTTCCTGCTGCCCACAACCCTTCCTCTGTCACTGAGGCCAGGCTGGGCAGTACAACAAGATCTTGTCTAAAATAAAAAGGTGTAATGGAGCCACTTTGGTTGTTCTTCAGTTTTGGTGCTTGGGAAAACCAAGTTTTTGGACCCCATCGCAAAGAGCCATTGAAAAGGTTGAAAGACCACAGTTCTGAAGAGAAGAACAGAGCTGAGTCATTGAGAAAATGGCTCCTTTAATACTGATGTACTATACAGCGATCTCCTAAGAAAGTACTGACCATCTTATAAGAGAGTTCAGTACCCACGTGGGCTTAATTATAATGCAGGTGGTGCAACCATATGCAAGACAGTGTGGCCTTCCATTTAAAGGAAGCACATAAGAAGGGTTGGTTACAAAATAAAATCCCTGAAGTAAATAGAAAGCAAGAGAAATTCTCACAGGATGCAGAGGAAAAAAAATCAAAGAAATTAAAATAAGAAAAGGAGAGATATAGAGAGGGCCTGTCCCAGAGTCAGAATCTACATGTAGTAAGAATACCCGAAACAGAGGACAAAGCAAATGAAGCTGAAACAGTAATCATGGAAGTGACTGAAGAAAACTTTCCAGAACTGAAGGATGAAGTAGGTCTGCAAAGGAAGGAGACTCCCAGAGTACCTTTAAAATTTTATGAGAAGAAAGCAACACCTAGACATAGTCTCATGACTCTTTCAAATTTCAAAAAATGTGGCAAGCGTCCGACAAAGAAAGCGCCTCCCACCTGAGGAATACAAGGAGTATGACTTTTCTGACTCCTATCTGTGTTCCTTGCAAGGATAAAGGCAAGATTAAATTGCAACGATGACTGGACCCTTGTCAACTCTACGGTGGGGCTGTGGGGAGACAGTGCCCTTGCCACAAGCTGTGTGAACTCTTGGTGGCCCTCATCCTAGGGGATACATGCCAGCACCCCAGTGGATACTGAAGGCTGTCATAATAGCGAAGGTTACAGACACTAGGTTTTCCTATACATACACACCTATGATGACGTTTAATTTGTATATTAGACACATCAGAGCTTAACAATAGCTAATAATGAAATAGAATATTTTAACCATATACTAAACACAAGCGGTTTGAACCTGGGTTGTGCATTTTTAGGATGAAACATTACAGTTTCTGGACTGTGCTTAACAACAGAAGACCACTGCAGAGGTTTATTTTTAAGTAAATTAAATTTATACTCACTTTTTTTCATTTTTAACATTTGTCTCAGTCTGGCAAAACCCTAAGTAGCAAGGATGCGTGCTCTAGTCCGGGCTACAGCCTAACATAATACTAATTTAATGTCGAAATTTTTAAATGTTAATTTTAAAAAATGTATTTCAGAATTGTTTAAATGCCAGTTTAATTTTTCAAAATATTTGATGGCACTCACACTAGTTGTGAACCAGCCTTCTGAGCTTTGATCTCTGAGTCTTCTAAATCAAGAAGAAACTAACAAATCTGAAGTCTTTTTTCCCTTAGGAACTTGCTCTAACTTATTTGGCTTTCATTAGCTCCCTAGCTGTTCTCAAACACTAGTGTTCTTTGTTTAGGCTTTGTTTTTTGTGGTACTGAGGATTGAATGGGGGGCCTTTGTATTGAGCTACAGCCCCTGTCCTTTTTATTTTTTATTTTTATTTTGAGACAGGGTCTGGCTAAGTTGCCTGGCCTGAGCTTTAACTTTTGATCCTCCTGCTTCAGCCTCCCACAGTGCTGAGAATACAGGCGCACCCCACACGTTCACAAGGAGGTGAACTCCCAGGGAGAGTCAGGTTCCAACACAGCTCCTCGGGTTGATCATGGTCCCATGACTTTGTCTTAGAAGAGAGTCATGTGAACCTTCAAGTGAATGAAACTCTGTATGAATCAGCTCTGATTTATTAAAGAGGAAATGACTAGCGGGAAAGCCTGTGGACTTAATCAATAGCAACAAGCCCTGGGGACATAATGTCTAAAGGCGTGTAGACAGGGGCGTGGGCTGACCTGGCTCTGAGGTCGTTGATGCCCTACGAGCTTGACTCAGTCTGAACAGAGAACTTCCTTTATTCAGAATCCATTTATTTCTAGGACTCGGAACTCTGCCTGCATACTGCTTGATGAAACTGCCAAATTCGGTGTCTCAGAATAAGGCTTAGATTTTAAAAACCTTCCCCATGCAATTATTGTTGCCCTTAGTTCATGTCCTAAGAGCATAGTGAAGAGGGTTGGTTCATCGTCAGCCTTTTTGTCTACAGGCAGAAGCTACTTCTAAGCTGAACTGAACTTTCTGAACTTGGAGAGTCTCAGCAGTCAATGTCATTTTAGAGCCCGCATCATCTCCATTAAAATCAATATTGGCAGCAAAAGTTTTATAATAGCATAGTCCATTTTTCTAAAAAAATTTTTAAAATAAATTGGCATGGGTCTATTTCAACAGCATGACAGAAGAGCTAAGTCTTTAACCACAAAACCTCCAAAGCCAGACAATGTGCAAGAGCCCTTTTCCCATGCAGAGCTGAGGTCAGAGAAAGAAGGGAAATACAGAGGAGGAGAGAAGTTGGAAACAAAGACATGAGTCAGTGCACTCATGGGTTTGCTGTTTCTGAGCTCTGTGGCTTTGGGTTTAAGAACTGGAAGAGAAAGAGACCGTGATCTTGCATCGGGATACTGAATTGAGTTTCCCTGTGTAAAACCGGAAGCTCTAGTGGAAAAAGTAGAGTGGAAAAATCAGGAAGAAGGGTGGAAAAGAAAGCAGAATGGATAGAAAAATGATAGAAGAAAAAGAAAAGTGATAGAATGGAACTTAATATGGGAACAATGAAAAGTACAATTAATGATGCCAGAAGTTTGTTTCTGCAAAGACAAAATGGACAACCTCCTGGCAAGGTCAAGAGGAAAAGAAAGGAAGGAAGATGGAGGGAGAGAAGGAGGGAAGAAGAAAGGAGGAGGAATAAGAAAAGGAAAGGAAAAGGTTATTAGGAATGAAAGAAGGGGTATAATTTAGCTGAATTTGACAATTTCCTTAAAATATAACTGATCAAATACGGATTGAGATTAACAGAAAATTTTCATATAAACTATTTTAAATTTTCAGCACTTTAAAAATAATCTAGGGAGACCAGGAGTGATGGAACATGCCTGTAATTCTAGCACCTGAGAGGCTGAGGCAGGATTGCCACAAGTTTGAGGTCAACCTGGGCTACATAGTGAGTTCAAGACCAGCCTGAACTGGTACTGAACTACATACCGAGACCCTGTATCAAAAAAACTAAAAAAAAAAAAAAAGAATCCAAGGGCCAGGAGAGGTAGCTAAATAGCAGAGAGCATGTTTAACATGTCACAGACTGGCTCAACTTCTACCAGCACCAACCTAAAAAAATAAAAATGAGAGAGGGAGAGAGGGAGAGAGAGAGAGAGAGATAGACAGAGAGACAGAGAGAGAGAGAGAGACAGAGACAGAGACAGAGACAGACAGAATGCCTACCCATCCACCAAAACATAGGCCAGAATAATGTTATAGGTAATTCTCATCAGGCAATCAAGGAATAAATTATTTCAATTTTTTTGAGACAAGGTCTCACTATGTAGTTCACGCTGGTCTTGAACTCTCTGCATAGCCCAGGCTGACCTTGACCTCACAGCGATACTCCTACCTCAGCCTCCTGAGTGCTGGGATTACAGGTATATACCACCAGTCCTGGCTGATTTCAATAATTTTGGAGGCAGGGTCTTGCTATTTAGTTCATGGTGGCCTTGAACTCACAGTGATCCTGCTGCCTCAACCCCCAAGTACTAGGATTATGGGCATGC